AGTATGACGTCACGTCTTCCTTCATTGAAAACCAATGTCGTGCACGAAGCAAAGCAAGGTTAGAACTTGAGTCGCCTTGAGTTAACGCCAGTATCGTAATAGTAACGCGCATGGGAATAGACTGACAAAAGTTTCTTGAAATATACGTTATATAATGCCCTCGTTAGACATCGCACGCATCAGTTCAGGAATATAACCTTAACAATTCCCTTTCTAACTCTGAATAGTATAAGAAGCGCGATCTCGAATTCCCCATAACTTCTTCCCCTCCCTCCCCCCCCAAAAAAACCTATACCTTCAACAGTGTAAACATACAGCTTGACGATTAAAAATCTTCACTCCGACAACTCTGTGTAGGGTTCTAGGTATTTGCCTTATTTTCTATGTAAAGTGTCTTATTGGGGACGATTGGGGGGACTATAATCATTCCTAAGAAAGACCTAGAAGCTGAACCATTTTTTCTTTTCTTTTTTTTCTTTTCTTTTTTTTCTTTTTTTTTTTTTTTGTAGAAAAGGAAGGTTTCCGACCTTATTGTTCCGGACGCTTCCTAGACAACACCCGTTGCAAAAAATTTTCTTGTCTGAGTATGGTACCTTTTCAACGATCTGTGTGTAATCAAAGGATACCACTTTGGAATCAAAGTAGACTCATCCACCCACTTGTTCAAGGTCAATGCACCACTTTACCACCTTCAGAAACACGATTTGACGTGGCCAACACATGGGGAGGTGTTTCGCCTATATCATTGTTGGGGACTTGTCTTAAGCCTCCTTATGAATCTAATGGGATGTATCATGAGCCCAGTGACTGCTCCGATCAAGCAAGTTACCAAGGACGGTCTTCGATTAACGTTGCTATGGGAACGAAATCTGAATTTGATCCGCCTCTTGAAGCTATTCAAACGTTGTGCAGTTCGATATCTTCAAACGCTTTTGCTTCCCAAGCTAAGAAAATCCATTTACATACAGAAGCTCTTTCATTGTGTGGGATCACATCCAAAACGTTCGAGCCAGATTCTCGGCTGCCCTCAGTAGCGATCCCTCGTACAGTCGCGTCAGAAATGTTGCACTCTTCAAATGCTCCGGCTCGGTCTCTTGAAACGCCGATCCAGTCTCAGGATCTTTGGAGACCCTGGGACTTCGCGGAATAAGACAAATAAAGGAGTAATACAAAATGGAAAAGCAAATCAGCCCACAGATGCAGATATTTAAACTTACTTCCGCGAATAATCAAAACGCCTTGTGTGTGCTTCCGCTGTTTTACACGGGTCCGGAAAAATTTTTGAACGGTCGAATTTTTTACCTGTGCAATCCGTTTACACGCAACCGTGCAAATTCTGTTACATATTGCAGTAATGTTTACCGTTCGAAAACTTGCAAGGCTCCGCGGGTCCCGTGTAAACGAAAGGTGGGTCCGTGCAAGTTTTTCTCCGTTCAGAAATTATTCGGGACCTATGAAAACAGGGTCTCCGTTAATCTCGTACCCAGACCTCTCGTTGACCAAGGCGAGATCTGGGCACAAGATTTGGTCTCCGTTAACCAAACCTAAGGAATTAAAAGGTTTTTCCATTCATATTTTGTTACTTAATAATTTATATTTGTAATAATGTAGTTTAGGGACATTCGCTTTTTTCTCTCAAGTTAAGTAACAGATAATGAAACAAAAACTTATACTGTGTCATTGTGTTTGAAAATAGATCTTTATAGTAATTAAAGTTGGGTTTTACTTCAGTCCTTATTGCTAAGAATGTTTGCGGGGGTTCTACCCTTTATAACCATTCCTTTTTGTTTCTTTATCTGATATAATCTTATTGTATCATTTTCAAAACCATTTAAACCTCGATCTCGATAAGCTCGATCGATAAACACAGCAAACATATAAGAGCCTTCTGGGCCCGAAAAGTTGTCGGGACTTACGAGAAACGAGCCCCTGGTCGGTATACCGATCGGCCGGTTTGAATGACTAATGCCAGTCTACTGCGGGCAGTAATTCCTGTCCAAAATGCCCCCTAGATGAAACTTTTTTCATGATGTAAAGAAAAAGCAGGCTCTGGTAGGTGGAAATAGGAGGCGATCAAGAGACTTAGAATCACGTCATAAATGGCAAACATCAGATTCCAGTTGACAATTGGCCTTTTGCATTAGTTGATCACGTGATCAACTTTCGGTAAAAAAACACGCGAAAAAAACACGTGACTGTACACCGACCGCCCGCCGGAGAGACCGTCTGTCCGCACCACAGGAATACCAATGCCAAATGATTCAATCAACAGGTATGGTAACCCAAATGCAACTCGAGCTTATTTTGGCCAAAAATCGCATAGCCACCGGCGTCTTGTAAAGCAGAGACAACAGAAGAGTCACTAAAGACGAGAACGGAAAGCAGAAATTGTTTCTGTATCCGTGTTGTCTAAAGTATTAAGCTTAGATAAATTGTCATGTCCACAAATTTGGAATATAGAGCAAGAGAAAGACAGAGAAAAAGAGAAAGTGGACGGCAGACCAGCGAAGCTCAACGAGAAAAAGAGCAAGAGGAATTTAGAGCGAGAGATAAAAAACAAAGGAGCCATTTTTTTGTTGGAAGAGCAACATGAAATTTTTGTAGCGGCGGTGACAAAATGAGAAATGCTAAGGGGCAACAATGCAAGGTGAAAATGAGCGGCAGTGAAAAAAAGTCAACGGGAACACGTACGACATTTCCTCCTCAGAACGTGTCACTAAGAAGTTTCTGGAAGTTTCACGTTGTAGTCCATCCTCGGAGACCCAGGGGCAGATAGTGGGAGAGAGGGAAAGTCTAAACGGGCGGGAAAATATGGCACGAAGAAAAGTAAAGAACGCCGTTCTCCGAGGATGGTTGTAGTCGTGCAACTGAACAACGGCAAAGAAATGTACAAAAAAAGTGTGCTGCACGTGCAAGTTGCTTTTGCTAATTAGACCTATTGTTGTTTTTCACCGTTCTCCGGCGTTGCATGCCTTCGCCGCTTAGCATTACACGATTTTATATTTTGTTTGAACAAACTATAAATATTATCGAGAGCTTCGCTTTTCGCCCTTGTTAAATCTGTATATTATCTAATTTTAATATCTGCTCTTTCAGTTCGTGCTAACAAAATTTTTCAAAAGCAAACTGTTTTCGCGGTTACCGAAAGTTGAACACGTGATCAACTAATACAATCGGCCTATTTCAGAGTTCCGAAAAGTAAGAATTTGTTCATGCTTAGCGTGCGTATAGAGTACTAAAGTGATGACGTCATAAAAATGAAATTTCTGAAATTATGGGATTTGTCAGGATATTCTGAAAGAACAATGTCCAAGAGGCCTACTTGCCAAAAATGAGTATTTCGCGGCAAATTGTCTCTGAGATCGTAGCCCAGTTATACTCGGAAAACTCCATACAAACCCTTCTAATTTTTTTTTGGGTCGACCCAAAAAAAATTTAGAAGGGTTTGTATGGAGTTTTGTAAGCATAACTGGGCTACGATCTCACAGACAATTTGCCCCCAAATGCTCATTTTTGGCAAGTAGGCCTCTTAGACATTGTTCTTTCAGAATGTCCTGACAAATCCCATAATTTCACAAATTTCATTTTTATGACGTCACACTTTAGTACTCTATATCGAGTTATGGATGCACGCGGGAAGTTTGGAGAGCACGAAAGATGCGTAAGAGTTGCACGAGGCGATAGCCGAGTGCAACTCTAGCTTCTTGAGTGCTCTCCAAACCATAACTCGATATACGCACAGCTAAAAGCATTGTGTGCATTGTTTTTGTGAGTAAATTTATGTCTTCTTGTGTAATTTGTCTTGTTATTGCAAGAGAAATTTTCCTACTTCAGTCGGATTGTTCGGCGATAACAAAAGTGTGTAGTTTTTTGCTGTTGAGCTTACTTTATAATTAACTTGTTTTTCAGGATATAAAACAAACGTTAAAAACGGAGGACACTTTATCCAATTTGATATTTTCCGACGCAGACCAATTTGTGGTCTTTTTCCAAGTAAAGGTCAGTCTTTACGGCAGACTTTTCAAATCTGCGAAACGTCTTCAACGCTTTTGCTGTTGCTTTGAGTGACTAGAACGAAGCTATATTCCAAAAAATATCTAGACAGTTTTTTTATCATTGCCGTCGATTTTTGGTTACTTAGGAAAAGGGACGAAAACACAGCTGAACACGTCATCTTATTTACGCACGGGCGTGCGTAAATAAAGATTTCGTTCATAGCGGCTCAATAGGACTTACATAGGGCAAGCTAACCTGAGATCAGGCGTTATTATTATTATTTTTTTTTGCTTCTTTGCTTCTTTGGCTCGAAAAAAAAAAATAACGCCCTCTTCCCGTGAGAGACATAACAGGGATAATAGGGAGAGGGCATGATCTCAGGCTAAGGGCAAGCGCGTGCGCTATGTTATAACTCCTACTTTTAAAACGTGACTAATAATGCAAAACCTTCTTTGTAAAAGTGAGTTTTCATATAAATGGCTTCGGATGTAGCCTCGCTTTGAAACAGAGGCTCAGAAGTGATTTGGGACAACCCCCCCCCCCCGTCAATTCTCACGCACCCCACTCCCAGCAGGTAATCGTTAAACAGAGACCACGCACGCACACTGCCAACTTACTAAAGCGCGAAGTGACACACGACAAGTCTCGAACTTGAAGGCGGATTTTTGTTTTCCTGCACAGGAGACAATAACCTCCATCCTTTTTCTAAAGCCTTCCCTAAGAGAGCAAGAAGTATGCCAAGACATTCAGTTACTAAACACCAGGTAAACTTATTAGCTTATGTCTGCGATCAAATCCGTCTTGTAGTTCTCGTACAAACGATTCAGGCACTTTCTTAAAATTGTTTTATCTTGTTATTTGAAAAGGATTTCAGAAAACCAGCAATGGAGAGGAAAAGAAGACAGAAAATCAATGATTGTTTGTCTCAAATCAAGCAACTGATTCCCGAAGCTAAGGAACTTGAGGTAAAATGAATTAGTCTGCTTCTGCACAAATTCACCACATGTTTCATAACCTCTTTGGGAGAGAAGAAACGCAGCACTTTACAAAATGCACTCTACCAGTACAAAAAAAGCATTTTCGTTAATGAAATGAATCATTTTGAACTTAATTCTTGTGTTTTCTCCACTTTCCTGTAGGCTAAGAAAGGATGCAGGCTGGAAAAAGTGGAAATTTTAGAAATCGCCGTTAAGTTTATTCGAAAAATGAAAAATAAGATGTCGGACGACACTGCAATGAACAGGGCGGGAAAAGATACGGGTAAGCTTCCATGCATGATAATTCATCAAAATAATTAAATTTTTAGTAAAATTGCTTTACAAAAATTGGTTTATGGGCGTAGGTCTTCAAGATTAACTCTTAGGGTAACAAGAAATGCTGAGGTTAACGTTATTGTGGGAATTCCCTGAATGTAAATTTTGGCGTTTGCATTTGGGTGGACGCCTAATTGTATTCCCTTGAAAAAACGAGTTGCGCTGCACTCGTACTGTAAATTCGCCCTTATACGCGCACACCAAACCGAGAAACAATGTCAAATTCCAGAAAAAAAAAATTACCAATGGACAAAATCATGTGAGCTTGCATGTTTTAAGAGAGAGGCAGTGCTAGATACATCTGGCATTCTAGTATCCATTCTAGTACTTCGATTTCTGAAATATTCTAGCGAGTCTAGCAAATGAACCAAAGCAGAAAAGGAAAAGAGGAAAAAATGTTTTTAGAGGAATGTAAACACATTCATCAAATTACTTCTGTCGCACCCTCTGTGTATGTTGCTCTGAGGAACATGTTTGTCATATTCTTCTTCCCCTAATTTGCCACGATGCCGAACGAGCTGATGCATGTCTTCGGATACATATATTTTGTAAACAAAATAATGCTAAAAGATATTTTGCACTAAGATTTCTCGTTTTGTACCTTTTAATCAATTCAGTATTCATTTCTACCTTGTTCACAGCAAGCTCTTCAGTGCTCGAGGAGCGTCCATCGTTCGTAAACATGAATACAAGCATGGCTTCCACAGGACCAACATTTTCAAGCCTTTATGATCTTGCCCAAGATTACGACCCTTCAATGCAGATGCCTCAAGGGAGATTTTATAATTATCCACCGATTTTTGGACCCACTCCAAGGTTTTTCACACCGTTGTGTGTTTCTTCTAACACGGTATTCGATCCTGTGAGTGGAGAGACTTTTGCTTATCAGCGGCAATTTGTCCCGGCTTTACTCAAAGAAACCGAAGAGCCATAAGACGCCGGCAATCTAGGACGTTCGGTCGGACTCATTTGTCAAGTTCTCGGTTGGAGTTTACCATTTATTCTCACTGCATTACTTAAATCTATGTAGATTGTGGGTTTAAAATAAAAGAACATCCATGGAAAGCGACTTAAAAATGTGGCAATCATTGCTTAGCTGTATTACTGCTGACCATAGTAAAACCCAATTAGAGAAAACTATTGTAGTCATCAAAAACGTAGAGGGGAAAATTTTGGCATTTCTATGAGAACCCGTTGAGCCTTGACCGTTTTTAATCTATTTGTAACAGTTTTATGAGCATAAAGAATTTGAAATAGTTTGGGGATTTAGAGAAGCGTGAATTTCTAAGATACAATTGTTTCTCAGTTCGTACGTACACAAGGAAGGCACAGTACTCTCACAGCTTCCACTGAATAGCAGTAAGCATTAACAGGACTTATTTAAAAAAACAAATGGCCTAAGTTCTCAGTGTAAACCACATGATATGTAGGAAGCTTTTTAGCTTTTTATACTCTGAACCTAATAATGATTAGTTTCTTTAGGTTGGGTTTTACTTGATCAAGTGAAGAATCAAGCGCATAGTTATCTTGTCTGAAAAGGGTGTTTATTTCATCGTGATCAGAAACATCTAAACTTTAGAGTTATGCCTCTCTAGGCATTCATAATATTCCCAACTATAAAAGTACGTCACCTCTCTTGTTTTTTATTTGGCTGTACGTTTCCTTCAAACTCTTACTATGAAGTTTTAATAGTGCTGTTTAAATATACTAAAAAAAAATTTTTTCTACAAAAACCTTGCTCTGAAAACTACAAATATCGGCAGAAATACGATGACATTTAATTCCAACAGTTTTTTCAGGAGTGCAAAACGTGATCTGCTCAGATCGTGGTCTAGCCTGATCGCAGCAACACTTGTCGGTTATACAAACTTGTCAGTTGTAAAATAGTCTGTGTCCTCATAAAAGGAAATACCCGACTGATTTCCTGCGGCGGGCTTATGTGTCAGAGCGGTTCAGAAGGCTAGACAGTTGGCTAGGCATAATTTTAAAACATTATTACAAATATTGTATCTCTCAACTGCTCAGACATATATGAAATACATATGATAACAAACACCACTATTCTCACATCTGAGGTAAAATATATACAAAACATACAAATATTATAAGCTTATCTGTTTTCTAATTCGCTCGTGATATATTTTTCTAACAAACCCCAAAATCTTCACGAGAATAAGATTAAATTGTACATGACTAATAACTACCAGGCTAACTCATCCCTGAATTTGGCCCGGGTGTAACTGCTTTTCCCAGTCATATCAGACAGTCAACCGAGTGGAAGGTGCTTAAATGCTTGCTATGTGCGCGGTATCATGAAATGTGTCCTTCCTCATCTTTTCGTCGCTTCGTTTTACGACGTACGCTTTTCTCTTTGCTGCAAGAAACACTTGGTGGTTTGGGAACAAGTCCAGTAATTGCTTGAGCATCCTCGGGTGAACTGTTTTTCGGTGAATTCTTCTCTAAAGGGGAATTCTTTTCTCTTGAACAAGTGATATTCCCGTTGCGGGTCTTCGCTGGAGGGAGTTTAATTGCGGGTGAACTTGTCTGTGCATGCGGGCTTCTTTTTAGGCTACAGTCGCAAACAATGCTTGAAAAAGAGCCAGAATTCGTCTTCGAATTACCATCGATCTTGGGAAGGAACGAAGCTCGTCTTGTTGTCTTTAATTCTTCATTAGAGAGCTTTACAGAAGGCCTTTTATCGACCACCGGAAAGCTACTCAATGTAACGTCACCTTTTGAAGGTCTGTAAACTTCGGAGAGATTTGACGGCTTCGCCTCGAGTTTAGAGATACCAGGAGAGCGGTTCGAAGGCCACGATGCAGAAGGCATCGCTCTCGCATAAGACGTATAACTTTGACTACCATTCATAAATTTGTTTGGCACAAAGACAGGTCCAAGCACTTGTTCGCTTGCTCTGCCATTTTCTCCTTCACTGTACGGAGTGGGCGGTCTGTCCACGTTTGAAACCTTTCGTAGAGCCACAATAGCTGGATCGAGACCCGGCCTGTTAAGATTAATTGCTTCAAGACTACCTCTTTGAGTTTTTGGAACCTGGTTTTCCTGCAATGTTTTGTTTGGTGAGTGTTTTTTCTTCATCCTGAAAGCTTTGTAGCGAAGAGTATATTTTCAGCGCGAACCCAACGTCATAATGCGCGCGCTTATCCCTAATTGGCTCAATCTAAACAACCAATCAGAACGCTACTTGTCATGAAAGAACCCCTTTAATGACCAAATGGAAATGAAGTTGAAAAAGATTTGAAATGGATTAGTTATGTCACATATTATATTTTTTTCCTTCTTAAAAAAAAACATAGGAAATCACAGTAAGGAGTGAAGGATCTTGCGTAGAACTGGTTCTCTAAAAATCTCTAAGAAAAAAGGAAGTTGAAATGAGAGAAAATGAGACTAACAGGAAATAAAACAGTTGGTAAAATTTAATATCATGCATATGTTAGTTATGTTCGATATTTCAGTTTGAAGATCAAACCCACGGGGGAAGGGTTTGTTATCAGGCCAATCTATATATTACTCATTTTTTGGTCTATAGCTAGACTTGCCTACAAGTCGAACTCAAATTTTTTCCCGAAGGCGAAGTGCGAACGGTCGATTTTTTTTATGTTTTCTGAGCAAAAGCTTCGTAATGAGGCAACTACCGGAACCGGAAATGAGAAGTGAAGGACTTTGAGAAAGTCTAGTCTATACCGTTTTGATCAGTTAGCCTGTTTACATTGTCGCATTGTTCCAGTTGTTCCAGTTGTCCTGGTTGTCCCAGTCGGCCCTTTCGTCCCAGTTATCCCGGTCGTCCCAACCGTCCAGGCCCCACCAGTTTTTCAAAAGTTGGATAGTTCTATTTACCGGATAGGGAAACCAATTGCGCTATCCAGTGGATAGTGATTTTTCTGTGAATGGCATTATTCACCTTTTGAAAAACTTGGGCCTGGTTGTGCCAGTCGTCCCGGTCGCCCTAGTTATCCCGGTCGTGGGTGGTTGTCCTAGTCATCAGGACAGTCAGTGAGTCAGTAGTCATCCCAGGCATCCCGGTTATCTTGGTCATCCCAAACATCCTTCTTATCCCGGTCATCCCAGTCAAACTTGTCGTTACAGTTGTCCCGGTCGTCTCAGTCGTCCCGCCCCTGGGTGCTTTACTTTAGGACGTGGCTTCCGTAGTGCAGGCGCTTGGAAGTAGTGGGCGAAAAAGAGAACGGGCGCGCGAAAAGGAGACACGCACGTCTCCCTCGCGCGCGCCCGTTCTCTCTTTCGCCCACTACTTCCAAGCGCCTTCTACGCAGGCTATTTAGGACGCTTTGCAAAGACAAAGGGGAGATCAAAAAAGCGATAGGTTTAATAATGATTTTTCCATCTTGTATTTCACGTTTGGTCTTGAAATAAGAACCGTCGAAATGTTACGTTTATTTATTTTGAGTCATTTCTTGCTTATACTTATATTTTAAGTTAGCAAGATGATTTTCGGAGTTGTTTTTGTATTACATATCCTTGCCTTCACCTTGGATGTAGTTCGTAGCAATTCATCTGCAGGAGAATTCGCCTACAGTTTACGAAGTAATTGATTTCGAATAACTGCGATGAAGACTGAAAGAACGTGAATTTACGTTTGAGCAGTATTTTCGCTGCCGTTGTCGTCTTGCGAAAAAGCTTTTTTATCCGCCCGTGGACCGCCCGTGTGGAAACGTGGGCGTCGACGCGTAGAGTGTTCTAGAATGTTGGGGACTGGAAACTATAGTGCTTCAGTTTGAGAAACAAAGATGGCGGTACAGGCGAAAACACAATAATGCATTTCCGGATAACATGCTTCATGGATAGTGTCGGTCTTATGAGAATCAATCCAGTTCTTGAGATATGAAGCAGGCAGTCGAATTTGAGGAGTGTCTTAAGGATTCTCCCTGTTTTAGGTAAGAAATGCGTTGTCATGTTGGGATTGTGTGACCCGACTGAGAGATTTCTAGTATGCAAGCGAGGAGTTCGTAACCAAGGTTTTCACTTTAAAAATTTTTCTACCTTGTTTTAACGCGGTATAGCGTCGGTCAGGGAAATAATTGTTTCTATTAGTTAACCTGTAGACTAACTCCAGGGTATGAAATTTGAAGAAAACGAAAGCGCGAAATCTGATACCAAGATGTCATTTACTCGAACATTTGAAAATTTTCTTGATTATTCTCAAAGTTGGTGTTCAAAGGCCTCTTTCATTGAATGCTAAATTATTTTGTGATATATTTAACTTCTATTGAAGTGCTTATTTTATTATTTTCTCATACAAACAAGAGTACAAGCATGTTTGGACGAAAAGGTGCAGAGGTTTGAAGGCGCGTAGATGTAGCATTCAAATTTTGCGCACCCACAGCAAAGGTTGAAAATTTTAAAGCTTACTTCTAAAAGCCAAATCTGATCACTTGCTTAGCGAGTCGGGCTTGGATTAAATAGATTTAAAAGTCATACGATTTTGCAAATAAAACACCTCAAACAGTGTTACGCTGTTTGAAACATTTTATTTTGTCTGCTAACAATAAGTTAAGCTTACAAATATAATCCAGCTGCGAGGACTGTGTTTAAACATGTGAGTCATTGAGATTTGCTCTGCGACAGCTTTTAAGTTTCTCCTCACTTCTAATAAACGCTTTTGGTTTATTTTGTATCCTCAGTTGAACAACTTTCAAAATTTGAATTTCTTTTTGCCATTATTTTTTTAACAATAATACAAAGATGCTAGTTAGTCTCAGTGTACTAAGCATTTTATCAATTATTTATTAGTAATATTGTCTATTCATAATTACAGTGGATAAAAGCCATTGGCTTCATTATTTTCAATAAAAAATGAAACATCGTTTTTATTTTTGTCTTGACATATAACTTCCAAGTGCATACCATATATAATTTTGTCAAGATTTGCATACAAACCACTTCATAATAATATATAATAATAATGAATGTCACATTGTTGCTAAGACATTCTGTTGCTTAACACCACCACTCTGCTTCAATGAGGAAGCATATGCAAATTAACATGATTTATATTAAACTTATTTAAATTTTTGTTTTGTTGAGACTTTCCCCCCCATTTCTGGCATTTTAGAAACTACAACATGACCACCTTAAAATATCAAAAGTGTCAGTAGCACACCTCCCTAGAAGCGAACTGATCTTATTAGAGATCTAGGGGTGGTTCAGGGGTTTCGTCAAACGTCCTTATGCTCAAACCTCAAACAAACCTTAGCAGTTTAAAGATCCAACGACCCGGACGGCAACGAGGACTTCAAAAAAACAATAGGTTTTATAAGCAAAACAACAACTTTGCACATGCATCACGCTTGGTTGTACATTTCTTTGCCCATTTTTGCACAACTACAACGTGAAAATGCCTAATTTCACATTTTATGGAGTATGTGAACAAGCAACGACAAAATTTGTCTCTTTCTGAACCTGCTTGTGGTCCCTAGGAATTCAACTCCAGGAGGGTTTGCCTGCATTTGACGAAGTAAGTGGGTAGGAATAATTTGCGATAAAGACTGAAAGAATGCCTCTTAGGCGACGTTCTCGTGGGGGTCGCGTCGTTGGATCTTAAAGTACTGTGTTGACCAGTTACGACTTCCAAGACATCCCTGTTGTCTCTATAAACCTTTTAATCCTTCCTTCTGATTCATATATTAATCTGTACATGTACTGATGCAAAGACAAACATATATACATGTAGTTATAGTGGATCTACATGATCCTATAAACTTTACACCAAGAGGCCATCTTCAGTAATTCCGTTGAGAGTTACTGTTATTTGCCATTGTTTGCAATCATCCACGTAACTTGTGCCACCTTCATTAATTTTTATAGGTTACAGGTTGATCAAAATGAACATGACATAAATGTTTTAGAGGGAGCTTTGGAAAAGGTGAGCTCTTTGAAGACATAATATTTTTATGGTTTACAGAGAATTTACACAAAAAAATCTGACTATGACTCTAAGACTTGAATCCTACTTGGGGGTCATTTTGATTGTGGTACATTTTCTTCCAGCCAATTCTTTTTATACTTTTATCTTGGCTTTCACTTTTATTTCAATTTGCTGGCCAGGGTAAGTTAATACAACAAGTAGGAAGGGGATAACGTAGCTAAGGATTTTCTAATTTTAATGAATTTTTTTTATGAAACTAGCTTGGGGTCTCCTTCATATGTAGTAACAACAGGGCTCGAAAAAAAGTCCCACCAGTAGTCTGGGGCAAGTATTATTTTCTTGCTGGGCAAGTAACTTTTATACTTACTTGCCCACTCGGCTAGAGTCCTCTAACAAAAGTTTTAACTTAAGGCAAGAAGTGGCTCTGGCCAAGCACAGTGTAAGAGCTGCTCGACTATTAAAGGACAAGCTATAATTCAAGTTTTTTCCGAGCCTTGACACCCGGGGAAAATTGCCTGCCCCTGGCCTCTAAGGACAGCCCTGTATTATCTTAATGGAGGGACACAAAATTGCATTTTAGACGTAAAATACTAGGCATAATTTATTTACACTGTAAGCAACACTAAAGTTTCAGTTTCTAAGGTTACTTTTATGTTGTAAAATTAACATTGTTTTTGCTCTGAGTAATATTAACCTCAATCTACTTACTTTTGCATTTTCTTTTCAGCTTATAAAACTTTGCAATGGAATGGTTGAGACTGGAAAACTGTTTAATACATCCACCAGGTCAGTCAGAGCTGCACTGCACACAGTGTATAAAAGGTTAAAAAAAAACTGTAAATTATAGCAAGGGTAGCTTAATGAAGGGTTGTTTTATGCATCTCTTTTAATTTTTGATCTTTTTTTTTATTTTTCAGTGGATTGGTGGGTGGTATTGACAGTCTGAGAAAATACTTTGAAGGAGATGACCTTGTCTCCTCTACTCTTCAAAAGTTCTCATGGGCATTATCAGAGCTCCAAACATACCTGACAGTAAGTGAGAATTGAATGCTACATTGTAGCAGTAATTCCCCGCTCCAGGAACTATAAAGGGAATGGGTACAAGCTTTCAGTGCAGTGATTTCTGGGATTGTTTGGGTGGACAAGCGTTACTTATGGTTGGTGGATGATATTCAAGGCAAACATTAACCAGTTGTAAGTAATGTTTGTCCACCCAATTGATCCCAGAACGACTCCCAGAACCTGCACCAAAATCTTGTACCCAACCTCCCTATAGTTTCTGGAGTGGAGAATTCTTTCAGTTGTTAAGTTCACAGAAAGAATATGAGGCTACCATTTTGCAAAGGGAATGAAAATATTATTATTATAAAGAATAAAAACCTAGAAACTAATTCATTTCTAAAAATAAAGTTTCTGATATTTGGGACAATAGCTGTATGGAATTAGACACTTTTTTTACCATAATTACCTAGCATACTTGATAATTATTCATTGTTTTTTCTGTTACTAGATTCTTTTGGAGCAAGCGCAGAGGTCTATATCCACAACTCTTCAAACTTTTATAAAACAGTAAGTTGCTACGATGTTGATCTATGCTGTAAAGTAGTGATTTGTGCACACAGCATATCTAATGCGCATTGGGCAGCCTTTGAAAGTGTATGCTTACTCTTTGCAAACTCAAACTTCTGTTTTTTGTTTGGACAAGTTGGAGTTCCATGTGGGAGGTGTGGCATGAAATCTCCCTGGCCTAAAGAATCTGCCAGAAAATTAGTTTTTCAATTTTCGTGACCGTACCTCATTCCCTTCCGTGACAACTTAAGTACAGTTATGTACATGTACCCGCATGCATGTACATGTAGTACTTCTCTCTGGATATACCTACAGGAGCCATCATCCTGTCATACCCCCACTGTAGTGGTCCTTAGTAAAAACAAAAGTGAAGACTCAAGCTGTAATCACTTTTTGACAATCATAATACAATAAATTTTACTGGCAACGCAGTAAGTTAAGATTGTAAACTGATGCCACATTTAATTTTTTAAAAGTTGATTCAAATATTTTCTTGTTTGTCACAGAGAAGTAAAGAAGGTGAAAGAGACCAAAAAACTGTTTGACAGAATCAGTGATGACCGGGATAAGTGAGTAGCTTGTGCACTTTTGTTACAAGACAAAAGCAATAAATTTGTAGTAGTTTTGTTTTTGACTTCTCTGCATTGTTTCTTCTTCCTTTTTTTCAGTGCTTTGACCAAAAATGCACAACTTCAGCGCAATTGTAGGCCATCAGAGGCTGAAGAGGTACGGTAGAAATGAAAAAAGGTCTTATGAGGTCGTTAAAGTCATCAATAGAGATGAGCATGGGGAAGGTGCTTGTGGGGCTGTTGGGGCCCGAAATGCAGCAAAGTACAATACATGTAACCTTGGCAACCACTAAGAGTGGTATCCACCCAGGCACAGTCATGCTTTAACCAGTTTAATGTAACATACTTACCTTCGGGAGGGGTGGGGTAGGGAGCAGAAAAACACTTGCAAACATCATCTTGCATCTGTCTATCTATCGACAGGCATAACGGCATCCAAATGTAATGGCCTTCCCTCACGAGTGTGGCTGTAATGAGCCCCTGTGATGCAATTAGGGCACCCGCACACATCTCGGACGAGAGACAGGTGGCCTGCCATTGTCTTGAGTTTAACTAAGCCTAAAGTTCATTTATCCACATTGAGCTGGGGTGTAGTTGAGGGTTGCAGTTCTGAAATTTGAAAAGCTGTGTTAGAAACAAGTCCAAAGCAACTTCTGATATAACACCAAACGTCTTAACAGGCAGCCAGCTAGCTTTGTCTCTCTTTTAATAATTTAGCATCATTGGTTTATTTGGCAGGCAAAGAATATCATCACTGCAATGCATTCCTGTTTCAATCATACAGCTTTGGATTATGCCTTTCAGGTTTGATATTAAGCAAAATTTTTGTTGTTTCATCCTTACATTCTAGTTTTTATTTTTATTTTGTTTTATACTTAATGATTCACACACGTAATCCAAAGACCAAAAGGTAAAATTTGAACCACAACATTTCCACCTGGTGGATCTAAATGAACCCCGATGGAATTGACACAGGAGAGGGGCACTAAAATTATTGAAATAAGGATGCATAATTATTGGAATAAATTCAGGAAATAAAACAATCATTCATGATCCTGAATTCATACTTAGGGTTAAGAGACAAAAGAAACTTAGAATCATACTAAGTTGAAACCATTGTAACACCAATTTCATTTTGAGCTACAACCTGTACACCTGGATGTGCATCAGTGATTAAATGATAATTGTTTGGTGTTTTATTTAATGTACCTTTCAGATAAATATTTTGCAATCAAGGAGAAGAATTGATGTCCTGGACAATGTAAGTGATAATTTACTGTAGCAACAAATTGTTATTAACCCCTTAAGCCCTAAGAGTGATCAGCATCAAATTTCTCCTTGTAATATCAATTCTTTGTAAAACAGAGTCGTCATGAGAATTACGGACATGATCATACAAGATGAATTTGCTTGATATTTTGTCAACTTCTCCGCACTACTTCGGTAGGAAATGAATAAGGGCAACAAATGAGAATTCAAATTTTGATCTCAGGGTTTAAAGGGTTAAATCATTAATCAAGGATAGCATGAACCAATGTGTTATGACCATAATAAATTACAATAATGCTTTGGACTCCAATCACTTCCCATAAAAAGGCTTGAGGATTTACCTAGCAATGGCAAAGAGGTGACAGTCAGGTAGACAGAAATCAGCTGAGGTGGATGTGACAATGTTGCATGAAAACCTGCGGGAAGTGGAGCGTCTGATAGGATCTCTACATTTAAAAGAAATTGTAATGGAGCAATGAAATCAGAGAGAAGAAAAGCTGAAAGGTACAACTGGGGAACTGCAAGAGTAGCAGCCAGGGGCTTAAACCTGGAGGCAGAATGTTATGGCCTTACACATACCTACTGTGATAATGAGCAAGGACAATGACCAATAATTACCATTACTTTCTTCTTTTTTTTTTCAGATTTTAAATTTCATGCATGCTCAGTCAACTTATTTTCATCAGGGATATGATCTGATGAATGATTTAGATGTGTACATGAAAACAGTTTCCAAACAGGTAAGTGAAAAGACACAATAAAGTATTTGTACCCTGTACCTAAAATTTAATTCAACTGGCAAGTTCTTTTTACAGATGATCTGATTACAGATGACACTTGCTGACAGAGAGAGAGAGAGATTGTTAGGTTAATTAATGGCTTAATATTATATTGTGTTTAACAGAGACTGAGACGTCATTAAGGATCAATAATAATGTTATTCAGTTCTGGCAAGATAGTTTGTCTGATACAAAGCAACTATGTAATTGCCTGGTCTGATCAGTTTGCTTTTCTATAAACCCTGCAAGTAGAAATTTGATAGTGAATGTTGATTAGACTCTAAGGGTTAAGCTTGCATGCAACACTATCATAGAGATTTGAAAATAGTGATTACTGGTAGAGCTGGTCGCTAGTGAGAACTGAGAAGGGCTGCTTAATATGCAAGAGCTTACAACTCCGGAACTTAAGGGGAAACAGATAAAATTGTATAACAAATCCAGGTTTCAAACAAAATGTCTCTGCCCACTCTGTTTGAATTGTCTTATCTTTGTGGAATGAAGTGACTCTGCATGTGAGATTACTTGCTTGCTTGATGTAACTCGTGCGGACCGTGTTTGAAAGCTTTGCTTCCTGATCCATTAGAGAAACCATACAGACCTTGTATTGCATTGACAAATTAATTAAATACAATGAGTGATGGAAGACCATTGTCTCTACCACTCTTATCCAGCCTTCCTTTTTTTTTTTGTATTATATTCCAACTTGATTCCTTTTTTTTTTTTAAATAATGCAGTTGGAAGAAATGTCAACCCAGTTTACTGTTGACAAGAAAGAAATGGAAGAAAGACACACTCTTGTCCAAAAAATGGTAGGTTTAACTGTACTCTGTGAGTGGCATTAAAGAAACAGTTATGGATGTTGAATGTCAAAACTATTATCATAGATTGTTGCATTGATCATCCATTTATAAAATAATAGTGATGTTTAGAAAAACATTCAAGGGTATATTATAATGTATTTTTTTTAGTGAGGGGCCAAGTCTTGCAGCTTACATTTTTGTAAACTTACATGGGTTATACGATTCTCTGCATTTGCGAAAGTGTGCAAAAAAAAAAATTGCCTGGTATGTAACTTATCATTTTTATTTATGTAGGAGGAGAGTGGATCTTTAGGAAGAAGGACCATTGATGACCCAAGGTATAAACAATATTCACCACTTGATTTGTTAATAAAAATGTTAAAGTTTGCACTATATTTACTAGCACTAGATAGGAGGGATGGATGCTTTTCCATGTAATTCACACTATATAATTGATAACAGCCTTTAATAATGACCTTGAATTTGTTGTGTTGTATCTTGCAGTGGTTTGGTGATGGAAGGCTACTTGTTTAAACGCAGTAGTAATGCATTCAGGAGCTGGCATAGGTGAGAAAAATAATATCAGTGTTACATGTATGAACATCTTGAAGTGTGTTTTCTTAAGAGTCATTGCCTCGACTGCTTTGCATTGAAAGTGTTGAATAGCTTTTTAAACCTTTTTTTGTAGGAGGTATTTTACTGTGCAAAATAACCAGCTGATGTACCAGAAACGATTAAAGGTAGTTAAAAAACATTCTCCTTATTTGCCTTCAAAATTTTGATGATCATGACGTTGATGATGATGATGACAATGGTGATGGTGATGATTGTGATGATGATGATAATTCTGATGATGGTGGTAGTGATGACAACTATGATTAGTATGTGTAATCAAATGTTGATGAGTGAAATTAGGGAATAATTTCACGCGCGTTTTGTCCAAATCTCAGAGGCTCGGGAAATTATTAGGATTTGGACAAAACTCAAGTGAAATTATTCCCTAATTTCAAGACTCTACCATTTGATTACCTATTAATATCATGGGTGACAAATTACGTTATCAATCTTGGATTTTTTACATGTTTATCCTGGATTGTATCGATCGAGAACTCCACTCTCTCAAATGTTTAGACCTTAAATTTGGCTTATACAGTTCAGAATTTTTCAGGCTATTTTGGCAAAATACCTGTTAGAATCCTTCTTGATGTTCTCTTGTGTGTTCAGGTTTTTTAAAGCGTCTTTTTGTGCCCTGACATCTTCATCTTCATGGCGTTTTAAAACTTCGTCGCCATCTTGACACTAAGACGTAGGGAAGGTTGCCATGGCAATTTTGTAATTTCACATGTGAAATTACAAATTAACGCTGAAATTTCGCGCCAAGATTAAGGAGTAATTCGTCACCTATGATATTATACTGATAATGATGTTCAAACTGTTGATTTTATTAATGATGGTGATGGTGATGTTGATGAGTGAATATTATGCTGTTGCTTGCATGAAGCTGATGTGCAGGTGGTACAGGCATTGATGATGATGATGATGATGGTGATGAAGATACTAGTAACTGACTGATAATGGTTGCAATGGTTATGGTCCATAATGACCATGATCATTAGCATATATTTGACTTGATACTACTTACTGTTTTGTAGGATGACCAGACCGTGCTAGCAGAAGATCTTAGACTTTGTAAAGTGAGACCTACTGATGAAGCAATAGAAAGAAGATTTCTCTTTGAAGTTATTTCACCAACAAAGTTAGTACCACTAGGCCAAACAAATAATGGTGCTTGGCCTGTAGGCTCAGGGGAAAATATATATGCATAAAAATGTTTTTTAAGGCTATGTAAAATGTAATTTGTTGAGCCATGGAATACTTAAGAAATCTCAAGAATTTGCTTGAATGTGTTTATACTTTCATGTTATATTTTTGGAAATTGTAAATGGTAGTTTTTGAGGAGAATAAAAACTTGAGTACCAGGGGAAAAAAATCATGTACCAAGGGAGAGAACATACATGTAAACTAACTGGGTTTTGGCCTCAACTATCAAGTCATAGGGTTAGCTATACTTGTGCACTGTAGGACTCTTGGATACCCTTAGACAAAACTGGTTTATAATTATTTTCTCATCGTATTTAAGGACATGGATCCTCCAAGCAGATAGTGACTCTTTAAGGGCTGAGTGGATGGAAGCTATGCAGGTTAGTGTAATGCTATGACCAGGGCCCAGTTGTTCGAAGGCCGATTTGCGCTTAACCTTGGGTTAAATTTAATTCGGGTTTCTCTTTCTTGTGTTCAAAAGCATTTTCTCAGATAATTTTATCTGTTATATTTAGAGCTTTCAATCATCAACTTGTAGACAAAAAGAATTAAAACTGGAATGTTTTTTAAGCTTTCAAATCTGAATTCAAATCCTGCACTAACCCTGGGTTATCTTAAACCCAAAAGTACTTGAGTCACTGTACCGTATTTTGGCTTAAGTGGCCTCTCCATGATCTTGTGCTTGTGACCTGCCCTGCACCCCTTAATAAAAGTTGCTAGCAATACAAGACCATGCTCAAAACTTGGAGGAACAACTTTGAATGGAAGGGAGGGAGGAGGTCAGTATTATATCTCACAGACCTGTGACTATCAGAGATTTAAAGCAAGAGAGGTTGTTTTCTCGTTGGAGTGTCCCAGCAATTTTGCAACTGGTTGTAGCTTTTCAGTTAATCCTCTGAATATTCTCGGTGGAAAAAAATATGGATGGACTTCGTGCATGTTTCTAGTACTGAATGAAATGTAATGTGTATATATTTTTTTGTGAATTGTACAGGCCAGTATAGACAAGGCTTTCAACAGCACAACAACTGGAGAGGCAGACAGCAATGAGGTAATATGAAATTGTAACTGTCAGATATACTAGAGAAGTATTAAGGTCAGTGGTTTCTTGCCTCTACTGTACAGCTTAAAAATTGTGAAGTTACATTACAGATTATAATTATGTTAAAATTGAAATTTAAGAATTTTGTGGTTTATTAATTTTGTTGTGAGTTTCAGTGACAAGAAAAGCCAATGAGCAATTTTCTATAGCACTGTTTGCTGCTGCACAATGTCATTAATTTTTACATTTGTACTTTAGAATGGATGAAATCCGTCAAGTCATTATTATAACCACGCATGCAAATTTAATAAAATTATTAACAGCTGATGTGCCTATAGTTTGATTTAGTGTGACACTGTTGGATTTAAATGATTGTTTTTATTTCTTTATTAGTGTCTTCAAAATAATTCACTTCACCTCACCTCACCTCTGCACACTCTACCGTTAAGTTAAGCATGAAGGTATTCATACTTCTCCAACAACATCAATGCCACATCCTTTGCAAAAGTTCTTGCCTAATCTCATGTTACCCATCCCACCTCTGTTCTCTTCTTTTCTACCCTCCTGTGCCGAATTTTTCACTTTCCACGAGGGGTCCAAGACAGTGCTGTGAAACATTGATGTCCTGTTTGCGTATACAACACATGTCCAAGCCACCTCAATTATCTCCTCTTTGTGGCATTACCTTTCCTTTCAAAAATAATGCTCTGGGAATAATTATATGGAAATAAAAAGTAAAAAAGAGTGATTTTTTACTTGTGTTTGTATGTCATGTTTTTTTGCTTGTTGTTTTTAGACTGACTCTCTTGGCTCAGGGATCAAGAGCAAAAGTGTGGAGTCTTTAGACAAAATTGTTGGACCACAAAGGTAAATTGTTATAGTAATCATTTAACAATATCAATGAAAACTTTGTAACTTGTTGGGACTTCAGGTCCTTGTAATAAATCTCTGTCTGCTTTTTCAGCTAAAATTTCAATTACACAATAGCACTCCGGTGTGTAGATGTGCATGTTTTGCTTCAATTCTTTGTAGACTCTATCAATGTGCTACAAGTCTAAACAAAATTTGATTTTTTTTACAGCATTCTGGAGCAAATCAGGGCAGTTACTGGAAATGACAAGTGTGCTGACTGTGGAAGTTCAGGTACTTAATTTTCATTAATTTTCAACAAAGCTCTCTCACTTTGGTTCAATGTTGAGCATCTTCAACAACATTTTAAATCATAAACTCAGTGTCCTAGGAAACTATTCGCAACATCATGTATAATAATAGAAAAAAAATTACAATAATTATAATGTACTTCAAAATCAAATTAAATTTTTATTTTTGATAACTAGCTTCTCTTTGTTTTACCCTGCAGATCCAACCTGGGCAAGTACCAACTGGGGAGTTGTGCTGTGTATAGAGTGTTCAGGGATTCATAGGTGCAGTATAGTATCACAGACTGTCCAACCATCCTGATCTCATCAGGATTCTCCCAATTTTGCTTGAAAATCCAGAATCCTGACCAACATGCGATCCTGATTTTGACATCTGTTATTTTGAAATGAATTCTTACTTATAATGATATTTTTACGAGAACACCTAACAGAGTTTATACAGAAATTGTCCTCTCCGAACCCTAGAAATGGCCTTTCAGAGAATCAAGATTCCAACACTTTCCATGGGAGCATGCTCCCAGACCAACATCCAGCTCACACCCTCGGCACTCACGTGATTCGTCAGTGATATAATATTTAGATTTTACAAACTCAAAAGGTTGGACGGTCTGGTGTCAACTTTTATGATTGTTGTCATTAATTTTACTGACTTTTCTTGACTTCTGTTTGTTCTAGGAGCTTGGGTGTCCATGTGTCAAAGGTGCGGTCCCTAACGCTTGATGCGTGGGAACCAGAGCAGATTAAGGTTAATGATTCACACTTGTTTTAATCTGTTTTTTAATTAATTAATAATAAACTAGTACATATTATTAATGAAATAATAATAATAAAATAAAATTGATTATTACCTTGGAGTATGTACTCAAGTTAGAATTGCCAATGCCAAAGCTCAGAAATGCTTTGAAGGTTTTGCATTTTTTTACATTTATTTTGGTGCCCATTTCAAGAGATGGTCAAGTCTTGTGTGCGGCTTAGCTTATTGCACGTGTGAATTTTGGTAAATTTTATGAATTCATTCTACTTTGGTCTGTTTTGATAAATTTTTCTGATTACTTGGTTAAAAACATACCATGCAATTGCCAAGTTTCTGCTAGCATGAGCACTTAAAATTTTTAAGTAGTGAGTTCACATGAGAACTAGTTGACATTGCAGGCATATACTTGTAATAATAATACTCACTTCATGCAAAAACATCCTCTGACCCTTTGATTTCAATTTGCATTGAGCCCTCCCTTTTTGCATTTTATTGCTTATGATAATGTGAGAGCTTTTGAACTGCGGAAATGAATAATTTTTTTTTTCATTTTTTTAAAACAATTTTGTTGTTATCTTTGATCTTCTATAGCTAATGACTGAGCTGGGGAATGAGTTGGTCAATGGAATCCTTGAAGCAAAAGTTGATGCTATGAGTACAAAGAAACCTACTCCACAAAGCAGCAGGTACATTGTACTGATCCTGATGGTTCTTCGTTTGTTTCTTTTGTGCTGTGTTACATTTTCATGCGATGTCATCCACTAGGGGTCGAGTGGGTTAGGGTCGTACTCAGGGTTCTCAATAGAAGGCGGCACCCGGCGATTGATCGCTGCTTACTTTGGGATTTATAGCCGCTTACTTTGTGTTTAGGTCGCTTTTCTTTGCTTTGTTTTGACACCTCTGGCTTTGCTGAAGAGCCTCCTACTTTATCAGTGATCACCTCCTACTTAAAAATCTATTGAGAACCCTGGGTACTTGACCCATAAGCTTAGTAGGTAGCATTGTACACTCCCTTAAGACTGTCAAACCCTCACTCTGTTAAGTTCACAATAATTTTGTGCATAAATTTTGCAGTTCACTTTGAATTACCCAATAGCACCCTTTTTACAACTTCCTTTGTGGAGTATTTGATGATCTTTGGTTGACAGAGTGGTTTATTTTGTCTCGATCTGGCTCACATTCCTCACCGGCTTACAGTTTGTAACTACAATCTGTCAAACACTAATTTTTGTACGAAACTTTAAATCAAAATAATATTAATATATTTTTAATAATGTATTGGGCGTTGTGTACTGTTTCAGAGGTGAACGTGAAGCTTGGATCAAAGGAAAATATTCACAACATAAGTTTGTATCACTGGAAATCTTTCTCACAAAGTGCCAAAAATTAGACAAAGGAATCATAAAAAACCTTGCCAGAATGAAAGTTTACCATGAGGAGAAAGGCATTGAAAGAACTGACTCAAAGAAGAGTAAGATTCTCAGAAGAAAGCTTGCTCTTAAAGGACATAAGTCCAAGGCCGACAAGAGAAAGAGTGCTCCTCCAAGCGTGTTTTTATCTGATCTTACAACTAAAGACTATGAGAACTTGGAGAAAATGGCTTCTAGTTTACTTGAACAAAGCAATGATGAAGTTAGTAACTGTAGTAGTGACTCGCATGATGACGAAAGACCAGAAGTTGTCTCTCCTGATGATGCTAGCAGACCAAGAGCATCCTCTGTCAGTGGTACAAGGTCTATGTCCTTTGAAGATGGTAGGGACAGAGGAGATTCTGTTGGCTCAAATTTGAGTGACGATGGTTTGGTCGCTAGTGATAATGGTGAGGTTGAGGCTGATGAGGAGAAAAGTTTGAAGGAAGACAAGGTGAAAGCTATAGCAGTGCTTAAAAGGATCCACCCTAGTAGGGTAGGTATAAAAGACACTGGTTAACAAGTTCAGTAATCTTATTTTAAGCTTCATCGCTGAAATGACAAGTAGGCAAGATAAAGCAAACTGTGACAGTGGTCTGATTGGTTCACAGAGTGGGAGAGATGAGCCCATCTTGTCTTTTTGCATTGCCCATGGTGGTCCTGCAAGTAAAAGTCCTCATTTTGGCCAGCCATCTTGATCTCCCACTTAGTCAATAATGCATCTGTGTTTGTACTCCCATAAAATGAAGTGGGTGTTGGGCCGCTAGCAGTTAACACTTCGAATTTCAGATCTGCAGGTCTGGGCTCAAACCTTGCCGCTGCATTGTTTCTTTAGCAGCCCTGAGAAAACAGGTGACATTTTGCAATGCCACGGGTGGTTCCCCCCGTGAAATAACGTCTGAGAAATGAGCACAGAAATTCCATACTGATGACCTATCACTACCCAGATCTAGGTAGTGTTTCTGATTGATCATGCCGTGTGGGAAATTTGCTTCAAACCATCAGAAGCACTACCCAGATCTGGGTAGTGACACATCATCAGTATGGAATTTCTGCACTCATTTCTCAGATGTTATTTCGCAGGGAAACCACTGGGGAGGTCATGAAATGTCGTCTTTTTTCCCAGGCTATTTCTTTAGACAAGAAACTTTGCTCCACTGTTTGCCTTCACCAAGGGTCAAATTCAGTAGATTTTATTATAGTGTTATTACAACTGTTTGAAGCCACCTTTTTTTTGCTCTTATTCACAGCTACTGTTTAAAGCTGCAGAGTGGAAAAGTCTGCCTCTGATGGCAGCATCCCTGGCAGAAGGTAAAAATATATTTTATAACAGTTTGCTGGGATTTAATTACCAGTCAGCTCTTTTGGATTGTGCACACCACTGTGATACCATCTTTATGGGCAGGACATAGAATTTCACTTATGTTACGTGTAGGATCTTGTACAGAGTTTCATTCTGCATGGCAAGCCTTGAACAGGGTTTTTAAACATTGTCACTGCACCGTCTTGACTGTGTTGTATCCAAACAATTTTTTTTTTTAATAAAGGCAATTAATGCCATACTACTGTACATAATAATATGTAATTATGTCTTTGAAAATTGAAATGAATAAGGGTCTCTTACATGTAAAATGGTTTCTTGTCTTAAACAAGGTTGTGAAGTGAGTGGATTTTGCCTTGAACAGGTTCAGGGTTTGAAGGTCTTGGCAGCTCCACCCTACCCAAACCTTTCCCCTTCCCCTCCCCCTTCCCATTACCAAAAGCAGACCCCATAAATAGTGGTCACTGCCTCAGAAACTCCCAAACTCCTCCCCTCTCCCCTTACCACCACCATCCCTTTTGTTTTTCATAAGGAGCCTGTATCAAGTAGACACCTCTACTGAACTGACACTAGGAAGGGTCCTGTCAGTTTTCTGTTTGGTTTCACTCTGTTATTCATTCTGCGAGTAACAGGAGCAAATATCTTTACAGTTGGTTCTCTACTGTTCTTGTACATTATGTTGTGTTTACTTTACATTTTCAATATTGTTATCAGGTGCAAAGGTTAACTGGGTAAATGAAGATGATGAATGTAAAACAGCCCTACACCAGTCTATCCTTGGGGTAAGATTGTGAGCTTGCTTTACAGGCTTCTCTCATTTTTGATTAGGAAGTGTAAGTTAATTGTTTGTACAGACAAATCCGCTTTACGGACACTCGCTTGATACGATACCTTATTATTACGGACGGTTTCAGCATGCAAAGAAAGTCGTGTCCAATAGCCCTGGGCCGGTAGATTTTCTGTCGGCTAGTGATTTTTGTTCTTAGCTTGCCAGATGGGCAAGTGCTGTTTTTTTGGGGAAATTCAAATTACAGAAGGATTGTAATCAATCCTGCTAATCAAAAAGGGTTTGGGGGCTAGTTGAAATGACTTGTGGGCTAGTACATGCTAGCTACAGTTTGCCTGAATGTCAGGCTGTAAAACTGTCAAAGACTTTCTTTGCACCCTGCAGTTTGCTGTGTCCCTGGGGAAGGAAAGCCCTTGCCTTTTCCTTTAACTCAACTTGCCTAATACATATACCTCGTCTACGCAGCCACTTTTCATGGCCCCTCAATGTCAGTATTAACAGGATTTGCCTTTACTAAATAAAAGAAATAGAGCAGCGGAAGTATAATATATCCCGTCAAGCACTCGGGTATTTAAAATGTGAAAGCTTTATTAATTTACGCTTAAGTTTATTCTTTTCACTGTAAGACTTACATACTGATGAAAAGTTTTAATCTTAGTAATGAAAATTTTATGCCTATAATACCATAACCAGTGCCAGATCCAGACCTTGAGATAAGGGGGAGGACCGGTCTCCAAAAAAGAAAATTTTTGACACTTCGGGCCTCAGTTTGGTCTAGAAATAAGGGAAGGGGGGCGGCGGCGGGGGCGGGGGCGGGGGCGGAGCCCCTCCCCTGGATCCGCCACTGATAACCTGCAATCAGACATGCTTTTTTGGAGTGATAGCACAAAAGTTGCCTCAAAAACGAAAAGGGAGGAAGGACCCCCTGATTGCAGGTTAATAATGATACCACTCTTTACAGATCATTTACAGTCAAGGCAAGGGCTAGCTACTTGGCCCTTGTCATCAGTGACTGTTTCTTGCTGAATGTTATTTTAAAAGCTCCTTTCATTACAGGGATCATTATCAGCTTGCGAGTTTCTGTTACAAAATGGAGCCAAGATTAATCAGAAGGACAAACGTGGAAGAGGTGCTCTGCATCATGCTGCTTTACTGGGGCAAACAGGGTAAGCAGCTTATTTGTATTATTAATTAGTGGACTATCTGATACAGTCAGGCATCTGCTAGAATGTATCTGAGGGTGCATTCCTTTAAGATGATCCGGATCAGGATCATTGATCAGAGATCACTCAGATTATGGTAGATCAAATGAACCCATGAATCCGCTATTAGGATTCACCAGTTCATTTGATCTACCATGGTGCGAGTGATCTCGCATCACTGATCCTGATCCAGATCATCCCAAAGGATCACTCCCTAAAATCCAATAAAATTACATTAATAGAAACTTAAAATTATTGGTTTTGCAACATCCACACTTATGTAACACCACTGAAATGTTATACACTTATACAGTCGTAGTTGTCAATTTAATGAAGAGTGTGTCCATGCTAACTCACTGAATGAAAACTCCCACCTTTAAAATTCATTTTGATATACAAATAAAACAATTTTATTCATTTTATTTTCCAGTCCCACTCTTCTGTTTTTGAAGCGAGGAGGCAATCAACACGATGTTGATGAGAATGGAGAGGTAAATATGAGTGCTATAATGTTAAATTATTTTGTCAACTCAAACCCAGTCTTCATTATTTATCTATTTTTTTTTGTCTATTCAAACCCCTGAAATCTGGATTCTTTTACTAACAATTTATTTGCCTTTTTTGCTAGGATCCTCTAACTATTGCTGTGAAGCAGATGCATGCAGATATAGTCACTCTGTAAGTAAAGTATTTGGCTTCATTTCTTGCAGAGGACTATCCCTTTGAAGAGGAAAAACCTACTGGAATACACTAGCAAAATGATGATTTTATGCAACATCACAAATGTAGAATGAGAAAATAACATGGATCTTTTTTTAGTTATTTGCCGTATTATTCTTGCTTTAATCTAAGGTAAATTGGCTAAAATCCAAAAAAAAAAAATTACAAAAAAAATAATGTCCAGACTGTGATATTCATTGTTGTGGGTAAAAGATGCATCCAGAAATGACCAGTATCTTAGTTGTCGAACATGTCATTACATAATAATAATTTAATTTTTGTCACATTGTAATTCTCATTTTTGCCCGCACACTTGTTTGTTGTCGTCGTCTATAGAACGATAGTTCCCTAAAAGTGACACTGTACTGCAACTGGACTTTAAAGTTATTTGAAGTCATGATGAAAATATTTAAACATTTAACATTGATTTCTGTAGTGAAGTAAACTCTTACCTAAACTTGCCATAACTGAAATAATATTAATTTTATTTTGTAGGTTGAGACTGGCAAGATTGAATGATGAAATGAGAGAAAGTGATGAGATCAGTCGAGGTAAACTGTGTTAAATAATTTTTTATGCTTATTATTGTCAGGTCTAGAGAAAAATAAATGTCTTACTTGCAGTTTGACTGGCCTACAAAGGGTTTGTGCTGGTAAAATGGTCTGAAATTATATGGATCTTGCACTTTTAAGTTTATTGATTTTAAGTGAAACCCCATAACTGATAAAATGATCGAAGAGAAAAGGTATGCCTATCAACCTAGAAAGCATTTTTGCCTTATTGCGTGTGTGACTGCATGGTATTTGTCTTCATTTTTTATCCATTTGTGACCCGAAGTTTTGCCTTTAGGCTTGTTCATGTTATTTTTCATGGAGAGTTGAAGTTGCATTTGTGATTTATTGCAGGTGATAATACCTTCTTTGATGTATTCAGAGATTTTTCAAACATGGCTTCCAAGGAACCCGACAGGCTGAAAAGGAAGTTTGACTCAAAAGATCCAAATAGGCAGACACCAGTGTGATTTGACATGATTAAAATTTAGATCAAAGAGGCGAGGTCTTGCCATTCGGCAGCATTACCAACACATCAGGCACATTGATCTAGATTCCATGGGTTAAAAGTAAAGAAGTGCTTTTTAATAGAGTTGATGTTGACTGTTCTCAGTTCAGGATTTGGTCCAGAGACTCAAGCCTCAAAACCTACCTTGTACAGTCAGTAATAGATGGCAACACAGGAAAGTAGTACTTCATAGCAGGTTTCATTGAATGGTTACACTTTTACAACTACACCCACATACTTAAATTAGTAGGAACCTCCATTACCCTGGTAAACGATATCACGGGAAAGTACTGCCCTCCAGCAGTAATTTGAATAGTCATACATTAGTCATGCAAAGAAATACTCACTATAAGATAATGATGATGATGATGATTATCATTATTATAGGAAGGCAACAAATTGCTTTCCAGCAAGTGATGGTGGTGTTATTATTTTAACTTCAAAAGACTACAAACCCTATTTAGTTGAACTAACTTTTAATAATAATAATGGTATTTAATATGTTTGGGGTGTAGTGATTTATGACACAAAAAAGGCCAACAGACAAAGCCAAAGTGTCGCTGAATCTACTCTTTTTCTTGATCGAAATATTTATTATCAACAAATTAGAATGGAACTCAGTCATAAATTGAAAAAAGGGTGTACTGTACAGTTTAACTCATAGAATACAATTTAAATTAAATTCTATTTTAGACTGATGAATGTGAGTCAGTTTGAATGAATTATTATTGTACAGGTCACTACTCTGTTTTACAGAAGATAGCAGTTTTTGGTTAGGTTACGGTCAATTTTTTGTACATCCAATGATATTGTATCATCAGAATACAGGTGTCATTACATAGAGACCTTGATCAAGTTTAATGGTATGCAGGAAAAAGTTTAATAAATTTTAAGTAAAAAGAAAAAATTTTCAAGATCCAGGAAACTGATGAAAACAAAACGTAAAAGTCTTGTCACAAAATGGTTCCTAACCAAACCATAAATCAGGAAACAAATTAATGGTTCTTATCCAAAACATAAATCAGGAAACAAATGGTCCCTTACTAAAACATAAATCTGAAAACAGAACGATAAATAGACCACAAGTTGGTGTTTTACTGCAGAACAACAATAACATTCAGAAATTTCACGTCGTCTTCCTTCTTAATAATGTAAGAGCGTGAGGATTCTGTGAAACGATGCGTCTCCAATGAGACATAAAAGTACATGGAGGTAAAACGTGAAGTGTGCATGATAGACTTGAATATTAATAAAAGCTTCAATAGAAGGCAGTATCTGAAATCAAATTCCCATCATAAAGAGGACTTCACCTTGTTGTTAGCTTATAAATTTTTCTATTGTTTATCTCTTGTTAGATTTTTTGTTATTTTTTGAATACTGTCTCTACAGTTAATAGTTTTGTAAAATTAATTCCTGTTTTCTTTAAAACTTTTTCCTATAAGTTTGCCTAGTCGCTGGGCCTTATTATTCCACATCGCTAATGCATTTTGTGAAGGCCTGGGGAGATGCTGTGAAGGAACTGGGAAAGTATTAATTATGATGTTTAACTTATAAAATCTATTGAAAATGAACAGATGAGTATACGGTTTGAAAGCTAATTGAAATCAAATATTTGATTAGTCAGAACAAGATTTTTCTGCTTGGCATTGAATTGAAAAACCAGATAAGGATAATTATATGGCAGCTCTTAGATTACAAGCCAGGGCTCAAAATGAGGGCTGGTCAATGGGCAATATCGGGCCAAAAACTTTATTTGCTGTTCATGTTGATGAGTTACATACACTCTCATTATTAAATAAACGGCCAAATCCTCACCTGTAGATTTTACATTTTCTGTTAGTAACAATACAATAATGTTCACAAATAGAAAATTACACCAGGATTAGTTAGCTTTTATCCATTCTGATTTTGACTGGTAAGAAACGAGACTTGATCGGACAAAATGTTAATTGGCTGGTCATCATGTCCAGCCACCATCCAAAAATTATTTTGAGCCCTGCAAGCTGTCCTTTGTTCATAGAATGAATCATCACTTGACATTAGGATGTAAATTTCAAGTGACGAAATTTATATAATTGTTTTTATAAACTTACTGCTGTCTTGAATGAAAGTTTTCTTGTACAGCACAAAAAGCTATACAGACTAGAATAATAACATTATTATTACTGTTAAAAGTGTCAATAATAGCAATATGTACAGATATGGAATAGTTTGTTGTTTTCAAATAAAAGCTGCCTGAGATACGGTGTACGTTGTTTGATTATTTAGAGTATGTTTTGGTTTTTGCTAGTTATCTTCCCCAGTGAGTTAAATAAAGACAAAGGACCCTAATGGTAAAAGGCAACTCCACAAGTACGAGCCCTTAAATCCCACTAGTGGTTTTAAAATGTTTCAGGTACATCAGGGCTGTTGTTAGCAACAGGCAACTTAAGCTGCACTTGCTTTGTCCATAATCAGCCACAAAATTAGAGACAGTGCGCCCTGAAGGGCCTTTCTGACATTTTGTCAACTTCAAAAGCAATGCTGTGTTACTGTTCAAGCTACCTGTAAGAAACAACAAAAACCCTAACTTTGAATGGAGGGGATGGGTGCAAATTACGGGACCCCGTGTGAGGACAGTGACTCAAGAATTTTTGTTGCTGATTTGGGTAACTAATATAAAACCTACGGAGAAGTGGGCAGTCCCTCAAGGGAGTATTATAGTCCGGTAAAAATTGTGATTGAAATCATATAGAAATAGTAACCACTCTTTTATTGTTTTTATAGTTGGTTTTATTTTTACATGTATTGTAAGTGGTAAAATTGAAGCCCCCTATTGTCCAATAACACTGTCTAGTTCCTTGATACTTTTCCTCCTACAAGAGCAGTAAATGGTAAACTTGAAGGCAAGACAATGGTCCTCTTGATGTGTTACTGGTTCTGTTTCTGGTTTTTGTTTGATTTTTGATAGCTTTCAGTTTTGCAAAACAAAAGTCATCAAATCTCAATCTCATCTTCAGTGTGCTCTCTTAACTTTCACCTGACTTGTCATCAGGCTTTGCCTCTGGTTGATTTTCAGCTTGTTTCACTGAAGGTGTCTCCTTTTGTGTTGAATGCTAGAGGATTTTTAAGAAATAATATTACAGAAAATCATCGTCAACTTTGTTGTCGGTAGCTTTAAAGGTTATTGAGATTCTTTTGTACAGTTAAAGTTAATTTTACTGTTTCTTAGCAACATGGAATCCCTGCATCACTGTAATTGACAAACCAACTGGCTCTGGTATATAGTTGTATGGAACATGGTAGGCATTTTTGCTGCCTAGACTAGAATAGGGTTATAAAATCAAGGTAACATTGGTGTAGCTGGTTCCCAGGGACAAAGTAGTGATTGCAGGCTTCACAAAGTCTTTGAGCATCCCCCACCTCTCTAGTAGACAAGAGGCTATGTCTGATACCACCAGACTAAACTAATATTGTCAGGTTCCAGTTCAAAAGGTGGATAATGCTATCTGGTGAAAAAATCACTATCCACCCTATGTTGGTATTTCCTAATACCTTTCCACCGGATTACGATGACTTAACTGGTGGATGGCATTACTGTTGGTTGAAGCTAAGCATGGACACAAGACAAAAAAACCTGTTCTAATAGGGTGCCAGACATGACATGTTTTGCCACCAAACATTTGAAGTTTGACAGCCGTTAAAGCAAACTGTCATGCCAAAGGTAAGTTGTTTCTATGTTTTTGAGCAGCACGTTCCGCTTTTATGTCATTTTTCTCAACTTTCAGACATATTTCTAGCTTAGAAACAGCATACTTCCCTCCAAGGATTATTCTTAACATCTATAAATTCTTGCAAAGAATATTTTGTTGAACGAAAACAAATCAAGTCGCCAACAGCCGCCTACATCAAACTTGAATCAAACATTTGGCGGCAAAACATGTCATGTTTGCATCCAATTAGAACATGTTTTTCCCTCACGTGTACATACTTAGATGCAACCGACGGTATCCAACATATTTGAACAATCACGGCTAGAAGAAAAAATACCTTCTGCTCCTCATGACAAGGAGGATGTTTTTCACCATCCTTGCTTGGCCTTCCCCAGTATGGCCTGCCACCTCCAGCCCAAGGTGGTCTTCCAAAATGAAATGGAGGCCCATGTGGTCCATGCCAGAGAAACTGATGTTGACAGTTTGAATACCCAGCACCAAGACCAACCCCTAAACCCAAAGTGATAGGCCAGGCGGCTCCTGAAGAGACAAAATCAATAATCACCGTTTGCAGTGTACCTGACTATTAAAGACCACCACCTTCCGCACTAGGATTTTCCTACACCTTAATGGAGTGTGAGGAGGGGGGGGGGGGGTTTTTTTCTAGACGTCCTGTAACATATCCAACCCCACACCCGAGATATGGGGCCCGGGGCTCTCCATAAATAAAAACAATTTCTGCCCGATTTTGCATAGTCCCAGAATGATAAAACCCCACACCTACGCTGCTGGATTTTCCACCAACTTGAGGAGGGTGAAGGGGGGGGGGGGGGGGATTATTAAAGAGTAGACAAATTTAATCATGATTGTGATAAATTGGAATGGCCTAGTTGCAAAGGAGAAACCGTCTACTAGCCAAACCTAAAACCTAATTTATTGTATGACGAATAGTAAAAGTAAGCGAGGGATCGCTATACCCTCAAGTCATCGTCGGTTCTCTGCAAATTTGTTCGGAGACAAGACCATACTGTCTCCATGCCACTCTCTCTGTCTAATTATGACCCCGAGCCCAGCCCAATTCGATTCGACGATAATCTTTTAATTTTTCATAGCAAAAGACATATAAACACAAGCATGTGCAAAAAACTAATACATATTTCCGGTTTGTCAGTGACAAACGGTAAAGTGCAAGATGTAAAAACACCAAGGTAACAACAATATTGAGCTTACTTTTGAAAAACAGAAGCGAAAATACGCCACCAAAAACAGCACCACCAACTAATAATAAATCACATAAGAAACATTTAGTGAGGTCTCATCAATACTATCTTTCCTGGTGTAGATTTTCAAAATACCGGTTTTAAAGGTGGTATCCACTAAACATCTATCCCACTTTCTTCCCAACTCCTCTTCGCCTGGTCGAACAGGCGCCATTTTGAATTTCTTTGAGCCCGCTATTCTTTGTCCTGCAGTTTTGCTCTGCGCATGCGGACAGTGAAATACCCCCTGCATTGTCACATGTGTCCTCTTTCTTTCTCTTTTCAGCCATCATGCCTGCGGTAAGGAATTACAGGATTTTTATCACATTTTAAACCATCGAAGCGCCTCCTTCTTGACCTATATCTTGTATATTAAAAGATAAGAATTGAATCTTTTACTTCAACTCGTTTTTTAAGGCAAAACAGTCACTAAAACCGAATTCTTTAAACTCCATGATGCCAAACTGTGAGACTGAATCATGGGTTCGATTGCACCGTTTTAAAGTAAATTGTATTTTTTACGTTTCTTAGTTAGTCTGATACTATTAAAGAAAGTGATAACGCAAAATGACCTCCATTATTACTGAATCGAGAAAGAAGAGTAACAGGAAGATTAAGTTGAACAAAGTTTTGAGTGAAACTACCTTGGTAGAGAATCAAATCTTAAAACGAAGCTTATTTCTATTCCTTTTCTTGTTGGTGAATCTTATTCACTTCCTAAGTAATTTATCTTTTTTAAGTACAAAACCACAGCACCAAGAATGATGTACACAAACTGTAAATACAAAAAGTAGGCTTCCGTGATATAATATTATAAAACAGCTGATATGTACAAAATGTAGGAGGTTAGGAGGCTTTATCTCTTTAGGCTGGTTTCCATATGATCACTACAATCATTGGGATCACTGGAGAGTGGTTTCCATATGGCACAAAGATAGAAGTGAAGTCTATCTCAGTGATCATCAATGCTGCGACTGCTACAATCACTGTAGAGTGGTTTCCACATGATTGGTATGATCGCTGAACCTTTCTTTCAGTGATATGCAGGGCCAGGATCAAAGCGATCATATGAATTTCCAAAACCAATGATATTGCTAAATTCCGAGCAAGCCCTGAGAAATTTTTTTATTGAGGTATACATCCTTGTTTTTGTTGTTTTTCATAGAAAAAGAAACAACAGAAAAAAAAGACGCAGCTAAAATTCAATGTGGATTGTACTCATCCAGTTGAAGATGGAATTATGGACGTTGCCAACTTTGTAAGTATTAGTCAACTATATACTGATAAAGGCTGCCCAGATACTATAAATGTGTTTGATTTGTTGCCCATAGACAAAAGTTTGCATACATTGTGACATTGTGGCCTTCTCAAAGCTAAGGTGTCCCAGAAAATACGTTATTGTACAAAGAATTGGTTGGTGTATATAGCTGATTCAATAAAGGTTGCTTTCAGCGTTGGGAATTGGTAATTGGGCTTTAGGCATTTGTGCATACAGAACAATGCAATGATTCCCCTGAGTGACCACAAGACAGTAGCTTCCTAGTGCCAAATTTCCAATGCCTAAGGCAGCCTTTGTTGAATCAGCTATATGTTGTGGTTCAATTTTATCCTTGCATTAAAGTTATTTTCCATTGTCTTTGGGTATAGTAATGTATGATAATGAGTGTAAAACAATACAACATAAAATTTTCAACTAGGATAAAATTGATAGCATATAATTATGCATAGTGGAAGTGTTGTGGAAGACATTTAAGTAAATTTTCATCTCAGTGGTCAAGATTTCATGTCTTCAGACTTGACTATAAATCACTTTTATAGGGAGTTTACTTTTTATCGGAGATGACTAATCTGATTTGATACAAATAACAAAGAAGACTATAACACCCAGGCTACTGTAGCGTACAGTAAGGTTATTATTGAGCGTAAGCAATGAATACGGCGATGGCAACAGGAACGAAAAAAGAACAATAGGTTTCAATTTGCAAAACAACAACTTTGCATGTGCATCATGCTTTTCATGCTGCACAACTGTGATGTGAGTGTGCGTAATTTCATGTTTTGTAGAGGGCATGAACTCAAGACAACAACTTTGTTTTTCTTTTCCTGAACTTTGATACAGTCTTGTAGAATTCAACTTCAGAAGAATTTGCCAACATATTTGTTGAAGTGAAGAGTTGGAATAAGCTCTATGAAGTTTGAAGCAGTGCGACTTCACTTTGTAATAGGCATATTTTCAGGGTTTGTACACATCTTGACAACCCTCGAACTTTCAGAACCCATTTTCAAGGCGGTAATAATCATTAATTGGAAAGGTCTTCTGTTTTTTGTGATTCTAGAAAACCCGTTTACTGTAGATTTTGTTGTACTAAACCTTAGCTTCTACACTTAAACATATTATTTAAAGGTTCTTGAAATTCCTTGAATTTGTATGGAAATTTTTGTTTTCATGTTTGTTGCAAATTTGGTATGAAACTCCAGCATTTTGCTGCATCTACAGCTGTACAGCATGTCCTACTTAGGGCTGTCATTAAGGTCCAGGGTTGGGACCAGGAATTTCCTCTGGCTACTGTGAAGGTGAGCCGGTGCTAGAAGAAAAAGAGAACCAGCAGAAGTTTGTAGCTGTTTGATTCCCTGCCCACTTATTGTAATAAACTCATGAATCTTAGTGACAGCCCTAGCCACTGAATCTTATTGTGTGGTTAAGATTCTCATTCAGCAGAGATGTACATGTACTTTTCCTGATCACTGCATACAATGCTTAGGGCCACCTTCCCTAAGTATCGCTTGGCATTATTTTTCACAGGAACAATTTCTTCATGAAAGGATAAAAGTTGGTGGTAAGACCAACAACTTTGGCAATGAGCTGTCCATTGAGCGCCAGAAGAATAAGATAACTGTTGTGTCAGACATCCCATTCTCCAAAAGGTAACAATACAATGTAATACAGTTTGGGAACTATGAGGGGTATCTTACTAAACACCTTTGGGGTTCATAGATGTACTGGAAGTTGCAGACCAAGTCTCTTTTGTCTGGAGTTTTTACTCATGCTTAAAGATCCAAGAGGTGAAAAGGAAGGTTACTGTCTAACAGTTGTGACTGGAAGGGAGGTTACTGTAAAAATAATAGGTTATGTCTATGGGTGGTTGAGAACTGACAGTGTGGGTACCTGAACCAGGATGCTTGGAAGAACAGTATCAAATCACAACATCTAACATCTTTTTGAAAGCGTAAGGTACAATGTATTTTGCAAACGGACCATTAACATTCAAGTATTTCAGCAGTGCAACCCTAAAAATTTAGAATCGCTAGAAGCTTTACTGACCTTTCCAGAAACTGCTCTGTTTTGTGATTGGCCTTTTTCTATCCAGATTTTTGTGAATACATACAGCTGTAACTTGAAAAAACAACACAGGGGATACATGGTTCACAAAGTATTTCCGCTTCCATATTTAATGATTTTTGTAGGGGTGAGGTTGCTCTCTTTGTAGGATTTGAGGAAAAGTGTTGGTTGGGATTTACTTTATTCGCAGCCATTATTTGTGTGGTTGTGCAAGGACATAGGAGTGTATGGCAACACAAGACTAGCAAAAAGATGGGAATAACAATGAGCATTATCATTATAAATATCAACGTTTTGATTCAATCGCAGTTTAATATTAGGTTTGTAAAAAGACATTGTACAAGACACAAATATTTTGAAACTTGAATTTTCACTCTCTAATGTATCTAAAAAAATCATTCTCAAGCGATTCAGAAATTCGCAAGAGTTTGGATTGATACTAATCAATCAGAAAAGTGGACAGTTACCCCAGGGGTAAGGAAAGTTCAAACAGTTTATAAAACTGCTACAGTTGTTGAATATTTTGATGTTATTGGTCTGTATGCAAAAAAAATTGAGAATTTTCTGTTTTCAAAAAGCACATTGTGGTTGGATAATCTTCTCCCAAATGCCCTGGTTCAAGTATCTGTACTGTAGGTTGGTCATAGTATGTTAACATGCGCTGCATTGAAAAATCTTGACTCACTTGTGTAAACACTTTTCTTGTTCATTGCATCTCCAAGGTAATCACTTACCTTACAATGAGCAAGGAACTTTCTCCTCTCTACCTTGTCATTGCGAGTGGTGCATATCAGGCACCAGTTTTTGGTTAACACATTACAGTGTCTCAGCCTTTCTTCAATTGATCGCAGCATATGGGTATAACAATGCCTTTCAATTGATATTTGCTGGTATAAATAATGCTGGGAGCATTTCGTGAACAGCGGACTTAAAATTTGACACAACCTCACTTACTCTTGAATAAAGGATGTAAAATATCACACTTGACTTAATGCAAGAGTTTGGCCACTCAGTGTAAGCTCTAATAGCAGCCTGCATAGGGATAGAGGTGTTCACATGTAAATTCTCCTGGCTTATCTCAATATCTTCCTAAACGAATTGCTTGAGAGAATTTGTTAAAAGATCAAAGCCTTTACCTTGTTTGATCATTTTTCTAATTCTCATACCTTTTCTGTTGTTAATGAATAGATATTGTTGCAGCAGCAAGGAAATAAATTATTGATGTTGGTCAGTCTTGGGACTTGGGATAAAGAATTCTTATAAGAGAGAGTTAAGTGTATTCTCAAGCTATTTTTGTGTCACCTCAGGTATCTGAAGTATCTCACTAAGAAGTACCTGAAGAAGAACAACTTGCGTGACTGGCTGCGAGTGGTATCCTCAGCGCAGAACACGTATGAGCTGCGGTACTTCCAAATCAATAATGAGGACGAAGATGAGGAGGGAGAAGATGAATCTTAATCTGGTTCACATTTGTAACTCCGAACTGAAGTCTCAAATAAAGGAAGCTTTGAGAAGTTCAATTTTCATGCCGTTGAGTTGATAGTCGAACGGGGAAAACCATGAAGACCAGAAATATTTCTGGAATGTTATTGTGTTGTAAGAAAAAAGCCAATTGGGTGTGAGAAACTAAACCCCAAGCAAGAATGTTTGAAGCAATGAATTAGTTTGTGGTTTTGTGGCTAAAAAATAATGTACTTTGAGTCTCCTGTTCTTTGGGGCAAAACACAATAAACATCCCTGAGATATTTCTGATTGTTTCCTTTTGATTTTGAGTTCCAGAAGAAACCCATTATAAAAAGCATACCAATACTCAGCACATTGTCATAATTGTTTTTATTTACAGAGAGCCATTTCTAGAGTTATTTTTCCCTAACGAAGGTCAATGAAAAATTTTGGAATGTTAGACAAAAATCTTAGGCTAAACCGTTTGGAAAAATGCTAACTTGGTGACTTTCTAAAATCATTTTTTATAATATAGTCTAAAGAAGGCTTGTTTAATCTACAACATCACCAAAAACCATTTCTATACTTATTTTTCCCACAACAAATAAATGAAAACATTTGTTTTAGAAAAATGCAAATTTGATGACTATCTGAATTAGGCGAATTTAGTGAAGTTCCATTTTTTAAATTTTCTGTTTGTTAGATCCAAAAGGCCCAAAAACTCTTTTATGACGTCCTAGATAGAAAATAAGCCTTCGTAGACGATCATAATATCGACTTAAAAAAAGATGCAAAATTTGCATTTTTGCCAAGGGTTAAGTCCATGGTTTTGATCAAAAATTTGAAATTTTTTTATTCTCTGTTTTTTAGATCAAATAGGCACATAAAAAGTCTTTCATAACGTTCTAGATAGAAAATTAGCCTTTCTACACAATAAAAATATTGAATTCAAAATGTGGCAAAATTAGCATTTTCTCCTAAGAGGTTAGTCCATGGCTTTGGTCAAAAATTAGAAATTTTTTCGTTGTCCTTTTTTTAGATCACACTGGCCCTAAAGAGTCCTTCATTATGTTATGGATAGAAAATTTGCCTTTTAAGACGATAAAAATATTGAAATAAAAAAGTGGCAAAATTTGCATTTTTGCTAAGGAGTTAGTCCATGGGTTTGGTCGAAAATTTGAAATTGTTTTCATTCTCTTTTTTTTTAGACCAAATACGCCCAAAATCGTCATTCATGACGTTTCAGATAGAAAATTAGCTTTTGTACGATAAAATTGTTAAATATTAAAGAAGTGGAAAAATTGGCCTTTTTGGTAAGGGGTTAGTCCACGGTTTTGGTCTAAAATTGCATTTTTTTATCCTGTGTTTTTTTAGATCAAATAGGTCCGGAAAAAGTCTTTCATGATTTTCAAGATAGAAAATAAGCTTTGTAGATGATAAAAATGTTGAATAAAAACACTGCAAAAATTTGCTTTTTGCTAAGGAGTTAGTCCATGGTTTTCGTCAAAAATTTCAAATTTTGTCATTCTATGTTTTATAGATCAAATGGGACAATAAAAAGTCTTTCATAACGTTCTAGATAGATAATTAGCCTTTCTGTACATTAAAAGTATCGAATTTGAAAAGTGGCAAAACTTTTACTTTTGCTAAGGGGTTAGTCCATGGTTTTGCTCAAAAATTTGCATTTTTTTTAACCTGTGTTTTTTTTTAGATCAAATAGGCCCATGAAAAGTCTTTCATGAACTTCTAGATAGAAAATTAGCCTTTTTAGATCATTCCTTTTTTTTAAATCAAATAGGCCCATATAAAGTCTTTCATAACGTTCAAGATGGAAAACTAGCCTTTCTGGATGAAAAAACAAGGAATTAAAAAGTGAAAAAATTTGCATTTTGGTTTTGGTAAAAAAATTTGCAATTTCCTTATTTTCTATTTGTTAGATCAAATACACCCAAATAGACTTTTATGACATTCTAGATAGAAAATTAGCCTTTTTAGACGATTAAAATATCAAATTAAAAAAGGGGCAAAATTTGCATTTTTGCAAGGGTGTTAGTCCATGGTTTTGAACAAAAGTTTGAATTTTTTCATTCCCTGTTTTTTATATCAAATAGGCCCATAAAAAGATTTTCATAACGTCCTGGATAAAAAAAGTAGCCTTTGTACACATTAAAAATAGCGAATTTAAAAAGTAAAGATTTTGGTCAAAAATTTGAAATTTTTTCCTTCTCTGTTTTTTTAGATCAATTAGGCCCATTAATAGTCTTTCATGATGTTCTAGATAGAAAATTAGCCTTTTTACATTTAGATGATAAAAGCAGGGAATTTAAAAAGGTGCAAAATTTGCAATTTCTTGGCAAAAAAGCAAATTTTGCCACTTTTTTAATTCGACATTTTTGTCCCCTTGAAAAGCTTATTTTTTATCTGGAACGTCATGACCGACTTTTTTGGGCGTATTTGATCTAAAAAAAAGGAAGAAAAAAATTTCAAATTTTTGACCAAAACCATAGAGTGTTTTCGCATGACGTCACGGCGGCCATATTAGTGTCCAAAAACGATGAAACGGCGGCCACGTTGATCTCCTAAACCAGTCCTGTGGGAGTTGAACTCTTTTCTTATGCACACGCTTTCTTTTGTTCCAATAAATTTGCATAGGTGCTGGCCACGCGAGTGAAAACGCTCTATAGAATGTTTTCACATGACGTCACGCGGCCATATTGGTGTTCCAAAACAATGAAACGGCGGCCATGTTGGTGTCCCAAACCAATCCTCTGGGAGTTGAACTCTTTTCTTACGCAAACGCTTTCTTTTGTTCCAACAAATTTGCATAGATGCTGGCCACGTGAGTGAAAACACTCTATAGACTAACCCCTAAGCAAAAATGCAAATTTTGCCACTTTTTTAATTTGACAATTTTATCGTCTTGAAAGGCTGATTTTTATCTAGAACTTCATGAAAGACTTTTTATGGACCCATTTGATCGAAAAAACACATGATAAAAAAATGCAAATTTTTGACCAAAACCATGGACTAACCCCTTCGGAAAACTGCAAATTTTCTCACTTTTTAAATTCGAAGTTTTTATCGTCTAGAAAGGCCAATTTTCTATCTAGAACGTCATAAAAGACTTTTTGGGCCTATTTGATCTCACAAACAGTAAATTTTAAAAAAATGGCTAATTTTTGCAAAGGGGTTAGTCCATGTTTTTGTTCAAATTGCATTTTCTGTTTTTAGATCAAACTGGCCCTTAAAGCCCTTAATGACGTTGATAGAAAATTAGCCTTTCAAGACAATAAATTCATCAAATTTGAAAAGTGGCAAAATCTACTTTTTTGCAAACAGGTACGTCCTTGGTTTTGGTCAAAAATTTGCTTTTTTATGCTTTGTTTTTTATGTCAAATAGGCACATAATAAGTCTTTCAAAATTTGCAGTTTTTCAAAGGGGTTAGTCCGTGACTTTGGTCAAAAATTGGACATTTTTTCCTTCTCTGTTTATTAGATCAAATAGGCCCACAAAAGGTCTTTCTTGACATTCTAGATAGAAAATTAGCCTTTTTAGATGATAAAAACAGGGAATTAAATAAGGGGCAGAATTTGCAGTTTTCCAAAGAGGTTAGCTAAGGCTTTGGTCAAAAATGTCCTTTTTTTATCCTGTGTTTTTTTAGATCAAATAAGTCCACAAAAATTCTTTCATGTCGTTCTAGATTGAAATTACCCTTTCTACACTATAAAAACATCGAATTTAAAAAGTGGCAAATTTGCAGTTTTCATGAAATGAAAATATTTGCATTTTTGCTGAGGGGTTAGTCCATGGTTTTGGTCAAAAATTTCAAATTTTTTCCTTCTCTGTTTTTGAGATCAATTAGGTCCATGAAAAGTCTTCCATAAAGCTCTAGATAGAAAATTAGCCTTTCTACACAATAAAAATATCGCATTTAAAAAGTGGAAAATTTTTTCATTTCCATGGGTTTCGTAAAAAAATAGCCATTTTTTTGAAATTTTCTGTTTGTTAGATCAAAAAGAGTCTGTCCACATAAGAAGACCTTCATTTGGTGTCAGTTCTTCCCAGCTAGCATACCCCGGACTATGCCCCCGCTTTTGCAATCGATTTAACCTTCTCACTTTTTATATCGGCCTACCATCCCAGATGGAAATTACATATTGACTACAGCATGAAAAACCAAATGATTTGATCAGTCTTTCATCGCGTCAAAATTCTCTTCCAGATTAAAAAATCCCGACAATTTCGTCTTCTTCAATTCTAGCAAAACACGCGGACTGAAAATATATCTTTACTGTAAAAGACAAAACTGACTAGTTGAGAAGGTAAAGGCCGTTAAGGATGACTTTTCCCTGGCTCCAAATGTCCCTTGTCCGAATAATTAGTTAAAATAAAAACCATAAAACCACGCCTAAGGTTTTTTAAGTCAACTAGGCAATTTTTCTTCTACAGGTTGTGCTTTGTTTACGCAAATTTGCCGCTGAATTGAGCTTTGTCTAACTTCTTGATCAGTTTTGGGGCTCAAGTCTTTAATACAAAGATGTTGAGTTTTTGGCAAAACGACTGGCAATTTTGCTCTAATTGAGGAAGCTAACAATTTCTTGCTCATGTTTCTGTTCTGTACTGCCGGCTTCTTTAGTAGTTTAAGGTCCGGGTCCGACTAGTTTACCTAACAAAAAATGTTTTATTGGCTATCATGTCCGGCAAAAAAGGAAGGAACAGAACCAAAACTTTGTACACAAGAAAGACCTCACCATCTTTCGTTTTTACGGTTTAACTCGCTCCACTGTCTTTCCCCCTGCCTGTTCCTCCGCGGGTTACGTGGTCAGTGGCAGCAACTAGCACCGTATGACCCAGTATGGGAGTTCCGGTTTGCCATCCAATATACAGTCCGACGGTTTAAAGTGTCTCAGCAATTTTGTCGTCAATTTCAATGCAAGGGGAAACTGTTCCGACGTCAGTACACTAGCCTGTCAGCGAAATATATCCGTCTGAAATGACACAGCTGGGCTGAACTGCCCGTCTTCCTTGCCGCATGTCGCTTATGACACGTGACGGTTACTACCTTTGCGTGCAATTTTTAGTTAGTTCACCTTGCACTCGCCGTTGGCGCTGGAGTTGTCATAGCCCGAGGGTAGGTCCAAAGATATGACCTCTTCCTGACCAGAGTCGTCTCTCGAACAAATAGCCTCATGCGATGTCGGCTCCTCACTGCAGCCGTTATGAAGTGCCACATTTTCGACAAAGTGTTCTTTTCTAAACTGAAAAGGTACTCCAGTCTTGCACGAAATAGTTACTTTCCCTAAACCAACAACAACGATTGCTTGTTTCATCTCAACGGTCTTCTCCAACTGGTAATCCCCTTCATTTAACAGAACAATTTGATTTAATACCTCACGCTCTGTGATTTCTTGAAGAACATTACGCAATTTATCTGAGTTTTTAACAACATCGATTTGTAGAGCTCCATAACGTTCAATGACTGAAGAAATATTCCGACCAGAACTCAAGTGATTGAAGACAGCAGCAGCAGCCAAGGCTTCGTGCTTCCTCCCTAACTCTGCCAAAATCGTTGCCTTGGTAGAGTAACCTAATAACCAAGAAGGATCCGCTCTGATAGAAGACTCTGAATCTTTAAACGCAAGGTCAAGTAAGGATACCCGTTCAGACATGTTCCTCTTTTCCTCAGCAGATTTAAAGTACGTTGAAGCTCTAGCTGTAAGGAGTGGTGCGTCTTCTGGACATATGGCTATTGCCTTGCTGTACAAAGACAAAGCCTCGTCTAATTGGCCACGATTAAGACTTTCTTTAGCTTTTTCTTTGAAAAGTTTGATTGAATCAGTTGAAGATAACAGTTCTATGTTCTCAGTGTAAACGGTTTCATCGAGTTTCAGTGGAACGCTCTTGGAACAGATAATTTGCACTTTTCCGATGCCAACCATTACTGCGTTCGCTGGAACTTTGAGTGACTCTGGTAATTCATACCTCCCCTCTTTGAGTAAAATCACAAGATTGTTGCTGTCTGCTCTTTTGGCAGCATGATAAAGGCCATCGACCGTAGTTATCACATTTTTACTGTACCCTCCAAAGCGCTTAATCACTGCAGGTATATCAGTACACTGTGATGGAAACATATGTTCCGCAACTGCAGTTGCTGCAAGGGATGGACCTCTTTGCCCAAGCTTAGCAAGACAAACAGCTTTCCAGTAGTAACCCTTAGCCCAAGAAGGATCCACAGCTACTGCTTTCTCTGCGTCCCGAAGAGCTTCTTTAATAAGTCTCCTTTGGCTTTCTGTAACTTCTGTAGCTTCGCGAGCGTTTTGTTCTGAAAGTTTAACGTACGTCGCCGCTCTGTTAGTTAATAGCTTGACGTCATTTGGAAATCGATTTAGCAACTTCTCATAGATTTGTAGTGCCTTCAAATAATTTTTTTTCTTAAAAAAATCATTTGCGATGCCTTTGCACTTCCTAGCAGCAAGGACATTTATATCAATTTGAGGTTTTGAATACGATGGGTCGTTTACTGGCTCCTCATAAAATTGCTCAACTTTTTCTTGAATGCCAGAGGCTTCGTCTTTAACTCCAAGAATCTTGTACACCTCAGCCAATTTACGACGCGCTGTTAACACTTCCAGGTGACTCTCTCCATACATTTTCGTTTTAAGTGACACTACCAGTTCTGCAATACGTCGGTACAAGTTTCCCTTACTTTTATCATATCTAACTTTTCCGGCGTGTTTAACGCTCGAATTCGAGATTTGGAAACAGTGGATTACACCTTCTAAAACCATGGCAGCGTGGTTGTAGCTGCTCTCATGAAATACATGTTCATCAGTATCTATAAGGCCGTCAACCTCACCGGTTTGAATGCATTTGTACAGAACAGGCCACCTGTCTTCAAATATTCCAAAAAGAGTATTTTCAGCGCTGCGGGGGTCGAAATGGGATAAGATTAATAGAGCGTCCGTTATTCCCCTGATATAAAAATCTGATGTAGGTGGTTGCTTCTTTGCAATAGGCAACATTTCCTCAGCATATTTTCGTGCCTCAAGCAGGTTACCTTCTTGTTGCCAATGAAAGGCAATAAACTGTAGAACGCGTAAAAGTTGGTGATGATCAGGAGTATAAATGCGCCTAGCAAGCTCGAGAGCTTTCTCATAACGCTTCAATGCGCATTCAAAATTGGACACCGATATGTAATTCTCAGCTCTTCCTATCAGGATCTGCAGAGTTATCCAATTATCATCACTCAATGGTAAAGCTTCGAGTTCCAGTAAAGCTTTATAATGTTTCTCCCACTGGTATTCTAAAGCGTAATAAGAGGCCATGTGCTCACCAACAATGAATTTAATATCTGGATTTATAACAGTACCAGACTTCTCCATTTCAGACAGCTTCTGTACAGCTTCTTGTGCCATCTTTTTTGCTTCTTGGTACTTTTCTTCACACTGACAGTGTCTTAAACTAAGACTTGTGGAAACCATTTGCCAAAGAAACTCATTTGGGTCAAGACTGCGACACATTTTCGCGACTTTCAATCTGAATTCGTCGAAATCAGCTCGTAATCGGTTCAAAAAAATATTGGTAGCTATCAAGCCGATCACTAACGAGCACAATTGATAGGTATTATCATTGTAAAGCGAGAAGGTCACACTTCCCTTTGATGAGTAAAATTCATCTTCGATGTGATTCTTGAGCTTGCGAAAATTCAGCACAAGGGCAATAAGAACATTTCGTTCATTTTCCTTAAAGAGTGACAGGTCAGGCCCTATGATAGTGAATCTTTCTTGTTCGGAAAAGGACGCATATTTTGTCTGTAATGCATAGTGAAGAACTCGCGTGGCTGCAACCAAAGCCTCGACCCTTTGTGATTGCGTAAGGCTGGCTCTGACAACTTCTTGAACAAGTTTGTGGACAGAGAAGACTTTGTTTTGGCGATCGACTGAGTAAAGGGAATAACTTGACAGTACCTTTAGGACTGAAGCAATGTCAATCGTGGAACGCGCGCATTCTCGCAGCTCCTCTTGATCTAGTTCAGGAAAACCGGGATTAATAACGTCAATGGGAACATTCTCAGAATCCAAAAAGGCCGAAATTCGCATCATATTGGCGGCAGCTGGTGACTGTTCCTTAACAAACTCGAAATTTAACTCCCAGGTTGTGTGAACTGACAAGCGATGTTGAGCTTCTATACTAAGTGCTGTAGCAGGCTGTTGCTTTAAAAGACGCACCTTCACAGCTTGGTATTTTTCTAGGTATTCAGTGAAGCTCAGTGGGATAGGACTTGCACTTATGTATGCTGCTGCCTGCTCTAAAGCTAGAGGCAATGCACCTAGTTCATTTGTCAAACTAATCGCATCTGTGTCAAGGGATTCTCCTTGAAGACCGGTTCTTTTCATTAAGAACAAAGCTCCATCCTCTACGCTAAAGCATGGCAACTCAAAAAAATCATCAGTTGAGTACCTCAGAAAAGCCTTTGCGTCATTTGCGTTTTGCCTTGTTGTTAAAAGTATGTGGCCGTTCTTTAGTGATTTAACAGTTCTTTGCCACGGTCCCTTGCATATCTTCTTTACACTTGCAGGACACATAGCATCCTGCAATTCGTCCACATTGTCCATCACAAGAAGCCACGGAAGGTTCTTCTTGGACAACCACGTAAGAAATTTGTTCAAGGTGTCATCGATGCTGTCATTTGTCGAGGTAGGAATGTTTCTCAGAGAAAGTATCTCAGCAACTGATTTATTTATATTTTCATCGCTTTCCCCATTGATCCAGAACAAGCCACCTGGGAAGCGATTTTTGTGCCTCCAAGCGAATTCTACAGCCAAAGATGTCTTGCCACAGCCTCCAAGACCGCATATTGTTTTAGTGCAACAGGAAGTCCCAGGATTGGCCTCAACGCGCTCCGAAAGAAAGCTCTTTTCCAGCCAATTAAGAGCTGACTTACGGCCTGTGAACAGTGGTAACCTACATGGAGCGGTGCACAACACGTCATCATCACTGTCATTCGGTTTTTGTGTGGCTTGCCCTTTTTCCAAGACTAGCACTTTCTCTTGCAAAATAGACACCTCTTCCTGCAAACTTGCCAGGTTGGTTTCAATGTTGGCAACTTTAGACTGTGTTACATTCAGTACAGTTTTGAAAATTTCCAAGTCATCTTGGATAGCTTCGAAGACTTCTTGCAGGTCATCTCTCTTACTCAGAAATCTGTTGAAATCATCGACAGCTCTAAGAATATCACTAGAATTATGTGCCACGTCTTTTAACTTATGCAGCTGCTGTGCCAACTTGCTTATCTCTTCCCTGTTTCGAACCCCTTTTTCCTTCACGTCACATAAATCGTTCTGCGTAACCATCTTTTTCATCTCTGCTTCTACTTTCAAAATTGTACTCTGAGCATCAGACACGTCATCTTGGCATTTTGTCAGATCAGCCACAAGTGATTGGCGAAGCAAGTAAAGAGCCTCTATTTCAGACTCCCTGACGTTTACCAGACCCTTATGAAACAAATCTTGCAAGTCTTTCGACGATTGCTGGGCGTCTTTGTCAGAACTGAACACTGCGTCATTGAGCAGATTATTAAGATGACCAAATATGGTTGAAAGATCGGCATCTTGAATTTCCTGTTTCGGAGCGTGCGCCCAATGATTCCTACACTCATCTCTTGCCGACATCAAAACTGTTCGACTAGTAGGAGGATTAATAAAAGGACACCATTCAAGCAGGTTAAGAAGACCACCAATGTCCGTAGTTTCGGCATCGACCACATCTTTTTTACGACCTCCAAGAGTTGGCATAAAGACTTTAGCTATCTCCCATGCACCAGTCGGAGATCCCCACTGTGTGCGGTCACTGTTGTCCCAGCAAATCTTCGGTCGCCCGGATGTGTGGTGACGTTTCAGTTCCTTTTCCCAGGTGACACAAGTGGCGCATTTTGGTGCTGAAGGTGCGCAAGCGCACGATGGAAGGGACTGAAGCGGAGGACTGGAAATAAGGGTCTGGTACCAAGTTTCCATTTTGTTTTGAATTTTTGATGTAATTCCTTTTTTGGCAATATTCAGGGCACAACCAACCATCACCCAGTTTTTGTGTTCTTTCTTATCAAGCTGTGCTACCCAACCGCCAGATGCCATTATGATACTGATTTCGAGGTAAACTGAGAAACTGTACGTCTTAGAACTAAATAAAAAAGCTGGCGCTACAGTTGAGGCTATGTGCCTAGTTCTTTGTACCTTGGTAATTACAAATATGTCCCTTTCCAGGCCGTTTGCGACATTCCCTAACCAGGGATCTGCAGCGAAAAGACCAAAAATTCATACATTTATAATTCTAACAACCTTTTCTCTTGATTGTGTTTTGATAATGTAAGGAGAAAATTGATGTTTGTCATTTCGAGTCATTTTTAGGACTCAAATATTCAACATTTGTAAACTTCCGTAATATTGATTGCTATTTTTAATGTTCCATCTGATATTATTTTGTATCCGTCGCCGTAATTTTTATGCCATCTTCGAAAAATTGTAATTGAGGAGGCCTGATTAAAATAAGGTTTATAGTTTCCTTTAGGCTTCCTCGCCATGTTTTCTTACATTTTTTTGGCATTTTTTTGTGATTGTAATCGTGTAGAAAAAATTAAAAATTGTAAACAAAATTGCTTTTTTACCCACGAAGCACAAGAGTTCATATGAACTCGTTTAAACGTGTCCGTGCGTTCCAGATCTAATTGGAATTTGGAAGTGTGTAAATACAAATACAAGGGTTAATAGACATTTGTGCAAATAATTTAGTATTAAACTCAACTTTTAAACTCAATGTTGTACTAGTTAACCAGTATTGAGACTAAATCCAGGTTTATCCTTGGTTAAAACAAAGAAAATAACCTTGGAAAAAGAACAGAGGAAATTTACTAGTTCTCACCCTAAGGTATCAAAATATGCTAAACTCTTGAAAACTCTGAATAATTTCGTGATTATTAAGCATGACTCTCTCTAATGAATTTTGCTTCCAGAGCGTAGTTATTACACCGGATCATGACCAGCATTGCGTGTGCGACATACTTCACAAAGTATGGCCAAAACAGAAAAATGATAGTCTTAATAACACAACAGCCGGTTATCGAGACCGGAGAATAATGAATGTAAATTTAATATTTCAGCTTTGCCTTCCATTTCCCATCGAATGCTAAATCTTTTGGTTTTGAGGGTAAAACTCTTAGAAATTGAAGTAAACCTTACAATCACTGTTTACTAAACGAGTATGTCTTTTTTTTTCTTCACAAAAATCGACGAATTCAGGTGAAAAACATTCATTCGTCTGTGCTATGTCACAGTACGCCCTGGCTCCAAAGAATAAATCAAACGTTTCCGCGAAGCAGTAACGCGGCTGCTTTAACTGCTCAGACGGACAAACTACCTATTTCGCGACATTTCGATATGTAGTTTAAAGTAGGATTTCTTATCTTTAAATCTTACCTTACTTGATCATAGACTTGTTGCACTTGGTGGAGATAATTCAGACTGAAATGATGGCTTCCCTTGCAGCAAATCTATAACTCTATCGAAATCGAAAGCGGAAATGATAAAGCTGATTTGAGGTACACGCGTTGTTGACCAAGCGTGAGGTCGATATGGATAGCTACTGGCCAAGTTTTATTTGCGTTCTGTCATTGAAATGCAGACGGTACAAAGCGAGCAATACCGAGAGAGAAGATGCAGTCAAATCTCTCTTTACAACAATATTGCGCTTTAACTCTCCAAAATCATCAGTTTCCATGAAAGGCAATTAGAGAAAAACGATTGAGAAACAATGTACTCCATGAATGTTTCACAGGTTACAAGCTTTGTTTTGTAAAAATATCATACGTGAACTTCGGGTTTCTGTTGTATTGATATACTGTATTTACTCGATTCAGTGCGGAGTTAACGCCATAAGTAAACGCAACCCAGCCTACATTGAACTCCGCACCCAAACAAAAGAATGAAGCGTTGAAATTGTAGGGTTTTGGATAGGTTGATGATGGTAAGAGGTAGTGGCACATGGAGGGGTTGGACTATAATTAATGTAGGGGTCAGCTAGCCTTAAAGGTCGGCCTGATAATTTCAAATTCCTGGCAACAACTTTAGAACGAAAAACATTCTTCCATAGAGTAGTTGCATATCTGCAGTCAAATGTCAGGGTAAAAATCTGTCACAGTACAGGAAGGTTTTTAGAAAAGAAATTCGGGTCATTATTTCTGTACCGACACATTGCGCTTTTTTCTCTTTTCGCAGCTGTTTTCTCTGAAAGGAGCCTACCCTACGGCTTCTACAAGTTCAAAAGATAGCATTCATCAAAAGTCAAAAACTCAAAAACCTTTAATATAGCGCTGTACAGTTTTCGGGAAAAAACGACATTGTTCACGGCTAGCTAGGGCCTCCATGTTCTAGCCAATAATGTTCCTTGTTTTCTGTAATGTAAATGTAAATAATATCTACACATTTCTGAACTGCTTATTCTGTTATGAAGGCTTTTCAGTGAGAATTCACTTTTATGTTAGCAATGGTCCCTGTTATAAGGTATAAGGTATTATAAGGGTGGGGAGGCTTCTTAAAGATTTCTCTTAGCCGTTGCTGGTTTTGTATAAAGTGCCATTTCCCCACAATTTCTCTCACTTTTCGGGCCCTGGTGATAAATCATATATTGTGTTCTTCGCAGAAGAACTGGGGAAAATATCGTTCAAAATAAGCAGGGAGGGGGTGGGGGCGGGGGTCAACGAGGGGCATTTCACGACTCCTGCCCTTACCCGTACTGGAAGTTGTATGACCTTCAGAACTTCGTTATATAAGCTAACTAATAGGTCCTTAAGAGATTTTCCCTTGAGATAAGGGTGGGTAGACTTCTTAAAGATTTCTCTTAGCCTTTGCTGGTTTTGCATAAGGTGCCACTTCTCCATCCGCATTCTCTGCAGGCTAGGTAAAGCCGGGTGGTATTGTGTAACAAAAGGTAGAAGTTTTTTTACGTGCGGATTTGTTTCTCTGTTGTAGGGTTGTTTTCCCGTTGGCAAATTTTCTCTCAGAGAGGCACTTTCTTAAAATAATGGCAAGGTAGCCCCTTTCTAACAGGCGAAAATTAAAATGAAATGTGAGAGAAATTGTGGGGAGCACTGAGGAATATTTTAGTGGATCAAGGAAACTTGGAGCACAATTTCTGGGAACATGGGAACTCAGTAAACGTGAACACTTTAATTTATTTTTGGGAAACAAGGGAACAACGGTAATATTTATAGGGAACAAGGCAACATGCACCCCCCCCCCCCAACCTGGGAGGCCCTCAGGAGTAATTCGTCACCTATGATATTATGCTCTATTCAGTGAGAATCACTTTTATGTTAGCAATGGTCCTTATTATAAGGCATCGCGCGAGAATCACGGAAAACGTTTGGCGGTGACCTCAGCTGGAAAGTGTTCCCAGCCAAATCCTTCTACGTACAAGAGGAAGCGTTATAAATACCACCTCAACAACGTTTGCCTTCGATTGTTCGGAAACGATTTTGAATCATAACCTCTTGTTAAAATCTTTTCAGTAAAATGAGCCACATGCCTTCGACTGTCTTTTTTCCGTTACATCACGGAGTTAGGGGATGGGGGAGTTTTAGTTTGTCACCCAAAATATACTGCGACAGATGGAAGCCTCAAGAAATTTTGCCTTTAATTACAAGGGGAGTTATACGTTTCTCTAACTAAATACATCAGCTTGTCAGCCGAAATACATCTGTGTGGCATTACGTTGGCGTATTAAGCAGCCCGTTTTTGGTTGTTTACCTGGCTACATTGTTTTTATGACACGTAACTGTTTTGAGTTCAATTCTCTGTTTTAGTTCACGAGTTTAGTGAACCTTGCACGAGTTCGCTGTCGACTTTGGAGGCGTCATACCGTGAGAGCACGGCCAAAACCTGACCAAAACTACTTGTTGAACTCGTAGTCTTTACTAGTTTTAGGCCTGGGTCTAATAGGTTTTCCTTTAGAGAATGCTTTATTGGCAATAAGTTGGGCACAGATTACGGTGCTCAATCAAACTCATCGTCCGTATAAATATCGTGTTAATGAGTCACGTGATATGTCACGTGACCATTTTGCTAAAAATCTTAAATTGGTGGCGGGTTTAAGAAAAGAAATCGAGCGACAACAGTTTTTCTCATTCATATTAATTATCTCTAACACTGTGGAACGACTGTCCATCAGTATAAAAGCATGAAGGAAAACATCATTTTCAATACCCTGATACCCTCATTTTCAATACCCTGATTTAACCGTTGAATTATTTAAAACTTTAACTTTAGACTTCATGTACACTCATTCCAAACGTAGCAAGTTAGGTATGTTTATCTTCTATGAGAAAAGCCAATTTATTTATCCAAACAAAAGGCGCAAGAAGACCTCAAGATTTACTTTCGAGGAAAATTTCATATCGTTCTAGGTCTTCCAGCGAGAGATCTTTTCATTCAATCATGTGCTCCGAACAAACTTTTGACCCAGGCCTTAAACCCACTGAGTAGCGATTCTGGCTCATCACCACAACCTTCCTGAAGTTCCACATTCTCAACAAAATGTTCCTTCCTAAAGTTAAAAGGTGCGCCAGTCTTGCACGAAACAGTTACTCTACCTAGACCAACAACAACGATTGCTGGATTGATCTCAACGCTGTTTTCAAATATGTACTCTCCTTCTTTCATTAAAACAATTTGATTTACTCCTTCAGGCTCCTCTATTTCTCCAAGAACAGTGCTCAATTCATCTGAGCTTTCAATAACATGGATTTGTAGCTTTCCATAGCTTTGAATGACTGACGAAATATCCCGACCAGAGCTCAGGTGGTTAAACACAGCAGCAGAGGCCAAGGCTTCGTGTTTCCTCCCTAATTCTGTCATAATCGCAGCTCTGGTGGAGTAGCCAAGTAACCAAGAAGGGTCAGCTCTGATAGTGGATTTGGTGTCTTCCAGACCAAACTGTAGTAAAGATTCCCGCTCACACTTGTTGCTCTTTTCTTTCGCTGCTTTCAAGTAAGTCGAAGACCTAGCTGTAAGAAGCTGTGTGTTTTCTGGACATGTGGCCAATATCTTACTATACAGGGACAACGCCTTGTCTAACTGTCCTCGATCGACGCACTTTTTAGCTTCCTCTTTGTTCATTCTGATGAACTCCGCGGAGGGTGTGAGTTCAATGTTGTCAATGAAAACGGTTTTATCCAGGAAAAGTGGAACGCCTTTGGAGCATGTGATTTCGACCTTACCAAGGCCAACTATCACTGCATTTGATGGAACCTTCAAAGGCTGAGTTAAATCATATTTTCCACCGCGAAGGACAATTACGAGACTGTTTTCACGTATCTCTACGGCGCGCACGAGATCTTCAGGAGTAGATACTTCTTTTACAATGTAGCATCCAAAATGCTCGACAACAGCAGGTATTTGGGCCCATTGTAGTGGAAACAGGCATTCAGCAACTGCAGTTGCAGCAAGTGATGCACCTCTCTGCCCAAGTTCAGCAAGACAAACAGCCTTCCAGTAGTATCCCTTTACCCAAGAAGGATCTGCAGATATCGCGCTAATAGAATCTTGGAGAGCACGTTGAAGAATGTTCTGTTGCTCTTTTAAAGGTTGACTCTGTGCTTTCTGTTTAGAAAGCTTGACTTGCGCGACGACTCTGTTTGTTAATAACTTTGCATCTCCTTGATTCAGGTTTAAGGCTTTGTTATAAAGTTCGAGTGACCTCGAATAGTCACCTAAACTGAAAAAACCGTTACCTGCATCTCTGTAACGACTCGATTGCTTCACATTTGAATCTGCACATGGTCCATTTTGACACTGTTCAGAAAATCCCTGGCGATTAACAACAAATACCGGTACCTGAGGACAAACAAATGCATCCTTTACATCAGTTCCTAGGAACAACTTCACTGCTGTTAAAAAGGAACATGCCTCTAGCATATCTGGAAAGTTAGAGCCATAATAATTCAATCGAAGGGACACAAATATTTCACCGATTCGTAGGTACATGGCCAACTTTTCTGCCGAAAAGTTCGGTTCACTCTCCTTGCTTAAAGCTATGCTCAAGCTCCTCATTATGCTGAGAAGAAAAATAGCGAGGACTTCTTCGCTTCCATCATCTACATAAGGAATGCAGTTATTAACATAGCCATCTTTAACACAACTGTATATATGGGGCCATCTGTTTTCTAAAAGCTCTAGTAAATATGTTTCCACGTATACGTGGTTCAAATGAGACAAAAACTAAAAGAGTTCCTTAGTCCATTCACCATATCATCAGACGAAGGAGGTAGGTTCATAAACAAATCTCGCATTTCTTTGGCACACATTTTAGCTTCCTGAAATTTGCCGGTGCTGGAGAGTATGGTGGTGGCAAACTCAAGTAACTGCAGCAACTTTGGGTCACTCCCAGGGTAAACTCTTCTTGCAATCTCTAAAGATTTCATTACCCTTTTTAAAGCCAGTTCGGCTTTATTGCCTTTTTTAAGTTCAAACATCGCTATTTTCATTTGAAGTTCTGCAGTATCAGCTTCCCTCATTGGCAAGTCTAAACTTTCAAGCTCCAACAAACCATTGTAGCATTTTTCCCACTCTCCTTGAAAAATGAACGATTAAGCTTTATGAAAGAGAACATAGAATTTGACATCCGCGTGTATAACCACTCCAACTTTTTCGAATTCAAACATTTTTTGCACAGCATTGTCAATCAAATTCTTTGCTTCGTCTTTTCCATTAGCAGTCAAGCTTTTTACTTCCATGATACTTGCGTTGACCATCTCAACGAGAAGCAAGTTTGGATCACTGTCACCGTACACCACTTTGAAAAGTTTCAAGTAAAAGTTTGACAGTTCAGAAGTAAGCCAACAAAGTGAATTTCTGTTTTTAGTGAGGTCGTATACAAATTGGCAAAGCTCAAAGGTGTCGACTCCAAAGAGTTCATCGTTGTTATTCTCTCTCGGCGCATTTATTTTCTCTTCCATATAACTCGTCAACTTGAGAAAATTTAGCAAAAGAGAGAAAACAATAAGTTGGTCTCCTACGTCCAATTCGTAGAGGTTGCCTAACTTAAAATTCTCGAATGCAGGAAATTGTAAAAATGCAAAACGAAGCACACGAACGTATTCCACCAATGTCTTTATCCTTTCTGATTCCGTAAGGCTTTCTCTGACTACTTCTTGAACAAGCTTGTGGACACGGAACATTTTACATTGGTGGTTTACCGAGAAAAGAGAGTAGCTTGATAGTATCTTCAGGATGTCACCAATATCTGAATAAGAAAACGAACTTTCTCTCAGTTCCTCCTGATTGAATTCAGGAGATCCAGGATTGATAACATTGAAAGGAATAAATTCAGACTCAAAAAAAGCTGAAATACGCATAATCTTTGCAGCGGCAGGTGACCTTTCTTTGACATATTCGAAGTTTATCTGCCAGGTTGTGTGAACCTATGTTGCGCGTCCAGACTAAGAGCTGTGGCATGTTGCTGCTTTAAAAGATGAAGCCTAACTCCTTTATATCTGTTAAGGTAATCCTTAAAATTAAGTCGAAGAAATTACATCCAAAACGCTTTTGGAAGAAAGGAAACCTGGTTAAGATCAAAAGGAACATTCTAAATGATATATTTCATGTTATTTATGTCCTAAAAATGATCTACCAGGTCGGTAAGAAACAATGTTCGAACTCAGGTCGAAAACGAAATGATATTGACCCCTGGAAAGTGATTTTATTGTTCAACCCCCCTCCCCTCTGGAACTTCCTGGGCTTCTGACCCCCCACCTCCCTGGAATTTCCAATTCCCTCCGTGGTGGGGGTCTGGATATTTTCTGGAACCTGCAAACATTGTTTGAAAACATATATTGTATTGCACGTACGCAATAAAAACGAAAATATTGTCAATGCTGGGTACTGAGTACTTTCTGAAAATCCGAGAAATTTTGGTTGTAACATCAGCATACGCCGTCCGTCCATACAGTCTTTAGGGGGGAGGGAAGGTAATAAGGTGTCAGCTCGTCAGGGTTTAAATATGTTATATTTTCTTGGCAGGAAATCGTGCAAGAAATGGTGCAGCCATTTTTGTTAAGTTCCAAAACTTGTTTACTTTACTTCTTTTCAAGTATTTCATAGCATAAGGATTTTGTGGCTGTGACGCTCAGTTTCTCAGTAAATGGTTTTGAAAAAATTGTTATCATAACCCTTGTAGAATCAGACACTATGTAGAATCTATGCAAATGCTATGTCACAAAGCTATGTAAAACCTATGTCAATCAGTCATACATTGCTTTAACCAGATCCTATGTTGTTTCTATACCAGGACTATGTTTTTTGTATCGAAAATGCTATGTTTTCGCTAGTCAAACGGAACCTAGTTAAAAGCTATGCAGTTTTTAAAGGAATGAATAAAGGCAGAAATGACATAGTTTCCACATAGCCTATACATACAATTTACTTAGCTTTCAGAAAGTGATTTTAGACTTCATAGTCAACCTTATAGAAAAATCATAGGAAATAAATAGCCTTCACATAGGACTGAAATAGAGTTTACATAGTAAAATGGAACAGGGGACAGTTGATTAAATAGCTTTTGAATAGGGTTTGCTTAGAATTCAGATAGCCTAGGAATAGTGAAAACATAGCCTTTATTAAAGATGACGTATACTTTGCATAGTATTAAAATAGGGAAAACACAGAACAAATAGTCTTTGCATAGGTTTGAAATAGGATTTTAATAGTATTTGAGTAGGTAAAACATATCACATACACAGCTTTTAATTAGAGTTCAAACAGAAATTACATAGAATTGACATAGTCTTTAATACTAGGTAGGTTTTGATCTGCTTAAGCAAATGTAGTGTTTAAAATACCCTCGTAAAAATCACCAGAATAGTAAAAATAGCATACACATATGAATTAGAACACCTTTTACATTGGTAAGGAATGGGTTTTGACACGAAAAATTGAAAACTATAGCGATATAATCCCACGAACACACAACACAAATGCAGTATGTTCATGGAGCAGTTTCAGAATCGAAACCCCAAGTTAAAGCACAGGCAGACCACCCTCTGTTAGTGGAGGCCGTTGTTGATTGAAATCTGAGCAACGATCTTTTGTTATTTATTGAAGAAAAACATATGAACAATACGGTGGCTATAATTTGTTCCAAAATGCAGAATTCAAAGCAAATTTTTCAATAAACGTTTGAGGAAAATGCCAACTGAGCCATGTGTCATGTTTTTTTCGCCGTCCTGTGCTTGTTTAAGCGCTATTTTGGGAGATGAATATTTGACCTCGGCGGTTAGAACCAAAAAAGGGGACAAGGCAGACAGCAATCAGCCGCCGGTGCGTGACCCAGTCCAATTTACGCTGGAACTGACACCAAACTATTTAATTTCTTACCTCGAAAATACCGGATCCCGATCCAGTAGATATGTATCCATGCCCCATCCGAATGAGAGCTCAGTCCTTCCAAAATTTCTCGAGAAAAGCGATCCTGAAGATGCAAGACCAGCTTTCTCAACATGACCGGTGCACAAAACTCAACCAAAGGCATTTGAGGTATGCGCGTCGACTCAAATCCACCAATCAGCGTATCACGACCGTTGGCAGTTCAAAACCACAACCCCCGCACAGGGATGTTTGTTTGGTCGTGACGAAAGTTTTCAGTCTAGTTTAAGCACGGGCGGAAGGGGTCTTCTACCCGTGCTTGAAAACTTCTACCGGCCCGACTGGGTCTCCGAGGATGGACTCGACAAGGCTTAAAGAACGTCTGCGTGAGACGCTTCGAAGTGACTGACAGGCAACGAGATTTTTAAAAACACTTGATTAAAACTGAAGGCAGCTGATCGCCTCACCCTGCCTTCCCTTCTATTGAAAAGAAATCTGGAATTTCGGTCAGTAAAAAGGGCAAAAAGGGCTTACAGATGCATTTTATGGCGGTGAAATAGTCGAGGAACTTTCTAGTTTTGTGATTTGTTCTCCGTATTTTAAAGACAGTGAATTTACAGCAGTTTAAAGGAATTTCTAAAGAGTTTTGTGAAAGGGATACCATTTGTCAATAAAAGGTGTAAGAAATAGGGTACTTTTTCTGTCAAAAATAGTATATAGAAGGGTATGTAAGAGATTGGAACTCGAGCTGGAGCCTCCCAGTAAAAAACATCTCGAAGTACCCCGTCCTGTAGTTTCACAGCTTATAGAGTAGCAGCATTCCTTTTAGCCCACGATCAGGCGTTTTTTCTGGATAACCAGGAGCTCCTGTAATAATATGATAGAGACATAGGGAAGGCATGATCGTAGAATATACAAACCATTCTAAAGTAAATCACACAGGCTGGGACAAGTAGATACCCTAGAGGTACACCCGCAACTTTCCGGTTTTATAGAGATAGCTGGCATAAACGGCTTCTGATATAAAATGTCAACCTAAATCGTCTGCTTGAAATTATCATAATCAGAAATCGCACTGAAGGCTTAGACTAAGGATAAAACCCTGCCAGTAGAAGACTTCCAAAAAGTGTTCTTAAAGCAAATCAATCCCTTTAAAAGTCCAAAATAATCATTTCCCATGCGTCATCTTAATAACCAATCATGATCAGTGCAGAGCTCTGACCATGGTATGTGCACCCAGTGTAACTACAGTGTTATAATCAGGAATGATTCACTTAAAAATAAAAATTGTTGCCAAAATACTAAGTACAATTGTTGATTACAATGCTAAAAACAACGGCATATGATAACGGATTGACTTAAAGAATACACCATGAATGATGGGCTCTTGGCTCCAGAAAATATATTTCCTTTAATACCCCTCAGATCTAATTCTGCAAAATTATCTCCCGAAACTCCAGTTTACTTGCAGGCTTATCCTTGGAAAGGATGCTTTAACCAGAGCCTAGGTGGGGGAGGAAGGGGCGTTAAGAAGCTCTAAAACTGTCTGCGCGGAGGCTACTGTTACAAGACACTTCATTTGTTAGCCATTTTCTTTCTTCTCTTTGGGGAACAGAGGTAAAAGGAAAATATCATTTCGTCGCATTGCCCCATTCAAGAACGAGAGTCAGAAGAAAACAAAAACAGGCGTC